CTATGTTATATAAAGGAACACCCAAGTAAATGTGTACAGTACGCCTTCTCGACTTTGTATACAAACAAGCTCCCTGAGAAGGCACGATCAGCGTCCACGGCCCACTTCGCCAACGCTTTGTGGTGCCCAATATACTTGCTTTTATAACGACACGGTTCAATACACTCTACTTTAAGCGACGACCTGTATTTGAGATTATGTGTAACTGGATGCCATAAAATTTGTGATCATTTAATTTTGTACATGTAATTTCGTTGGTCATACAAAGTAAATAAATAGATAGCAAGCTCATAAAAAACGTTGGTTCAGTAACATAAATAAATTATGAAATCCACCGCATGCGAAATATAATTATGTAAATAAATTATAAGTTATAATATAGCTTATAATTTATTTATATATTATATTACTATGAAAGGCATGTAATCCAGTATAGATTCAGAGAATCCAGTACGTTTATTTATTATTTTGAAGCTGCTGCCCGCGACTACGTTTGCGTAGAAAAGAATGAAGGCGTAACATTCAGACAGAATGTCAGATATACATAAAAATTTGTATATAAATCAAAGCCTATGTTTTAATCTGATGTATAAGCTATATTATTTTAAAGTTTCATTAAAACACATCGAGTAGTATTTGCGTGAAAGAGTAACAAACATCCGTCCATACATACAAACTTTCGCGTTTATAATATTAGTAAGGATTACACAAGTCGTTTCGATCTGCTACCGTAACGTGACACGTACCCTTTTGTTCTGGATTTGCGTAATACTATGCTCACGATATTAAATATTTTAGTATCCATTCGCCCGTTAACCTTTAGCTAAAGAACTTGGATTACGCGAATTCATAACTCGTATTAAGTACCATATATTTAGACTGTAAATCCTTTTTTGTATACATATATCAAAGTTTATTTTCTTTATTCAATATAGGTTTAATTTAAGCTCTCATTGAACGTCAAAAAAAACTACCACCGATTCATTTAACTACCAGAAAAGATGCGTTATCTCTTTTTTTTTTAATGAGTCAAGTTATTAGTTAGGTATATATCAGCAGCAGCCAAGGGCTTGCAAGTGGAGAGCAAAAGTCATTTCCACAGATCCTTGTACTCAAGGTATTCTTCGACGTAATTATAGGCACTTGATATTAAGATATTTTCTATGAAGTGTTTGACATATTTTATATTTAAGCTTCAAAAACATAAGTTATATTTATTACTAAATTATAACTGACCCGCTTTTATACTTTGTTTTGAACACGGTAATTGACCCTGTGAATCATACATTGTGAGTTTTAAAATTAGCGGCAGTGCATTGGTTTTGTTTGCTTGTGGCGTCATCGAGGCCTTTAGACATGATGCGATGACGTATGAATCGAAAATATTGAATGTTCATTAATATATTACATAAAAAAAGCAATCAAAAGTTTCAATGTGTTATAGTGCTACGCATGGAAATTAATGATTTAAACGTTTACAATTCATTGTCATATTTTTAAAATCTAATTAATATCTAGCTACAATTGTCTTAATTAGGGAACAAATATTAACTCTTTGTTTAGTACTTTCCTAGACAATGTAAGTTTTTTGTTTTTAAATAAATATTTTTATTATCCTTATAATATAAGATTTTATTTTCTTAATATGGATACCATTCAAATCTATGAAATTTCGTCGCGTTGGTCTTCTGTGAGGCCGTGGTCCTTCCCAGAATGTGCGCCTAGTCAAATCGTTCAACAGTAAAAGCTAGTGCCTACCACAGTTGCAATGATGCTAGATACTTCATTAAAATTATTAGCTAGTTAGCTTTACTTTACCAACATATTTTCAACTGCAGCAAGTCACATTGCTTCGAAGTATTTTATTGTTTTAAATATCAGACAAGCGATTTTCAACGCTTTATCCTAAGCAGTCGTTACTTACGTGTTTTATTATTTTTTTTAAAGATGACATGAACACTTTCGAAAACAATTTTCACTATGTAACAAGAAGAGAAAAAGGATTTTTTCTCTCACATAATTAAGATTATTTTGCCAATTTCACTTACATTTTATGGAATTCCTGCATTTAAGGTTGAATATATTTGCACCAATACTACCTACTATATGTTTGACAGTGTTTTGTCCCAATTTTTATGCTAATTTTACCAGGGTTCCTTATGTACGTTGAGCCACGCTTCGCTGTGTGTTTCGTTGGAACTTAGCTACAAAAAGTACATAGTTAAACATATAGAAAGTATATAATAACACCCTCCTGTTCAACAGCTTAATTGTGAATAAAAAATATCATACTACGGAAGCTAAATGTTTGTTATGAAAGGTAATGCTATGTATTTACGTGTGTATGGTATGTAAAATTATGTTATTAACCTACGTAGGAATAAAATAAATTTTAGATATCTAAACACCTATATGTATTGTGGGCTATCGAGTATTTTACAATTTTTTCAAAATGCCTGTTTTGTAATAATAAAATCTCGAAATTATTGTTTCTTAATCCGTGTAAAAGGATTACTGTGTTAATTAATCATGACGTTGATTTATAACAACATGTAATCATATATCTGGTGCCGGAATGCAGTGGAAAATGAATGAGAGAGAAAATAATTTCGACTGTACTGATTGCGCAATGGTTTCGCACCTCGCAACTACTGTTACCGTGTTGTGGGTTCGATCCTCCGAAGGCCATATTGATATGGATCGTTTAAAATAAATAGTAGAGAGATAGAGTGAATGATTTGACCTGATAAGTAGATTATGCTAACGATGACGCTTTTCGAGTACAATCTGATTTTAACAAGTATTTGCGGTTATTTGCTCGCACAAAGGTTAGCCTCAAATACTTAATAAATATTGTTCATGCACGTTTTTTGTACTATAACGCGTATGCTAGGCTTGTTAGAAAATTTGTTATTTAATTTGTATTTTTAATTGTTTATGTTATGTCAGTCCAAAATAAAAAAAGCTGTCAAATTTTATATTAAATGCTAACACAACTGTCCATAACATTTAATGAATTGTTTGTAATAGAATAAATTGTAATTGAGGTGTTATAACTGACAAAATATTGATTTGCCAAAATAATATGTAAAGGAATTTTTTCGCCATGTTGACTAAAAAGCTCATTTGGAACAGGTATTTTGAATTTAAGCGTCCCTTTGTTTCACAATACTCAATGATGTCATCTCGACGTTAGCACGCAGTTTGTCGTGTGTTAATAGTAAAATCAATTGTTAATAGTAAGAATTGTAGTGCCAAGAAATTCCAGCACAAGTTTGACGACCTTCGGCGGTTTTTAAAATCGTAGTTACAACTAAGACTCAATATTTCTGGCATTACACGAGTCGTTAAATTCACTTTGGGGCCGGTTATATAACCGATGTATCTTTTTCGGCAACTCAAACAATATTAGTACAGCGTTAATGTTAATATCACGGAACAATTTTTATACTACGAAATCAATCCATACAAATACAAATTGATTACTTCAAATAAAATTGTAAAAGAAAACAAAACTATATCGAATATGTATATCGTAGGATTGCAGGATTTAAAATTAACTTTGTTTTGTATTGTTTTCTTAAGTCAAAAGTGAAAAATTATCATTATTTTCCTAAGTTGCATAACCAAGTTCACGGTTTGTACAAAATAAACGTGAACGAATAAAGAATTCGTAAGTTCAATTCGGCATCGCAACCTCCTTCGGAGCGGAAAGCACGTTGAAAGAAACTAAAACAAAGGCATTTTTTTTGTTTAAAATATTTTTTTGGTTCATTTGTTATAAATTCGTCAAGATAATATTTCTTCTTACCATCTTCTACATTGATCGGAACAAAATTTATATCTTACTTCAGATCGTTAAACATAGTGTCAGTACTATATTATAATTTTCCAAACGTCGGCAGCTTATACGTTCGTTCTTTTTTTACTTGTAATGTTAGATGGTAAATGCACTAGCTCAGTCAAATTCTGCAATAAAAAAATTAAATTCTGTAGAAATTATCATGAAAATTCATATTAAATGAAACTACTTTACGGATTTTATCGCGTTTTTTATTTTGATTTAAATTCCCGACGTTTCGAACCCTTTCCAGCGTTCATGATCACGGGACAGACAATTGAAAATTCAGTTTTCATGATAAGTTCTACAGAACCGTTTTCAGTGGACTATATGGACGATACACGTAAGTTATAACCATATATACGACCGAAGATTAGGTTTAAAAAATTTCCATAAGTTTGAAGGTTACTTCTTTGTTTGCGATTAGTATTGGTAGAACTTAACAATAAACCGATAGTCATACAAAATTAGGTCAACTGCAGTTATTGGACCATTTTCTTTAAACTGACTTAGCTTAAATAAGCTCGATTTCCATATGCGATATTATGCATCATTAGAGATTCTGTAATGATGCATAAACTTGATTTGATTACTTAATTTGAAATCTTTTATCTCTTTCCTTATAAGCACAGCATAATCGATTTTAGTCATAAAAGTCGTCATCGTTGCATATTTTATCAAAGTGAATGTCATTGATCCTGATCGATTGAATTTTAAAATTGGCCTTTTTCAGAAATCACTATTAGACGATTGTTAAATTAAATAATTTTACGGATTTTGTCATTAATAAGAAATGCACTCAGGAATAATTTAGCGTAGGCTAATGCATTTTTTCATTATCGCATTTTAACGATTGCTTTTTGACATTCAGATCAACTCTTCCGGCGATTTATCATTTTATATTCATATTGATATTTAATATTTAATTTTTAGTGCAATTAACACAAAATAAAAAAAAAATGTTTGTCTACACATTTTTCACTGTCGCAAAATTTTTTCGATATACTATAAATATAAAGATGGGGATAATCGAACATGTTATTTTCAAACTTTCCGTGAAATTCACGCGCTGGTTTATAAGAGCTTATAATTCGTATCTTTTGAATTATTTGGATTTAACATAATATCATATATTTTATTCATACTTTTTCTTTTTCAGGCCTTGCTCTACTTATCGCTGGCGGGGTGCAGATGTCGAATGCCGGTACGTCGACACAGCACGGCGCCGATGATGGTCTAGGCGCTCTCATAGCTGGCGGCGTTATACTGTGCCTGGGGCTACTTTTCGCCGGTTAGTGACGTCAGCTGATATTGTTTTTTTAAATATGCAATTTACTCAACCAATGTCAAGCTCGTTCATCCACGGTCTGTAATTAGATAATAAACAAATTGTTGCTATGGTGAGTGTAAGAAATATTTTAAATAGGTACCTAGTCCGTTTGTATTTTAGAACGAACGGAACATTTAGGCGTTAGAAAAAAGATTTCTCCGTTTTGTTTTTAGAACGCTGATTTTAAAACGTTTACGATTCGACATGATGTAACCATCTTGTAGAATCTTAAAAACGGCTGAATTAAAAATAGCTCCTAAATGTTACATAATTTTTGTTCTAGTCCATTTTACTTTGGTTTTACTTTCCTAATTTCCTTCTTTTACTGCTAATTGCTTCTTTTAATGCTAGTGATGACAAAGGTCCGATTAGACGGTTGCGGTTAAATACCTACCTACTAATGGCTGAATTTGAATATGAAATCTTGCCACTTGTAATTCTGGACCTAATAACATCGATGGACAAAACTTCGTCTGTTTACTTCATCCTTAGGTGAACAAAGTTCATTCCTTACGCTATCATCCGATATCAAGAAAAATTGGTCCGATATCAAGAAAAATTGGCATAAAAAAACGTTATTTTCTGTATGATCTCAGTAAAAAGTATATTGCTGACTCCTTTTCAGACTTGATACAACAGTCTGGTCACAGTGAGAACGTATGTCATTTATACAGGGTGTTCTGTTACACCTTGCATATCATAAATATACATGCATAAACATTAAAGTGATTACAATATTTGCTATATGCAGTTATATGGAAAATATTTATGCCGCTTCGCAATGCTTAAACAGCGCTCAGGTATATCTTGACAGGCGATCTGATACCGTGCCCGCTGACCTTAACCCTAAGGAAATGATAACGTCAATGCCTATTCAGCTTGATCGATATAAAAAGGATTGTAACGTAATAAGAAAGCCGACTAGATTTCACACTGCCAGTACTTTATAAGTCACAATGTTTTAAGTTTTTCCTTTAATATAAAAATATAGAGTCATAACTGATCAGCGTAAAGCTTTTATTTTTATATTGAATAATTTAATATTTTTAAAGCAGGCACGTCACATTTTATTATTTTTTCCCAAGTATGGTAATTATAAATAAACTATAGCCGTAGATGAGTTGCATTTTTGGAATTGGATTTTTTTTTCTAGTCTCATGTCACGTATTACACGTATTTTTAATAGATCACTGTTCATTTTTTATATGTATCGACTCCGAATCGATAATGGCATGTAATGGTGCCGCTATCATATTCCGATTTTGAATGAGGAAGCGGAAACGGTGAGAAAGGAAACACGTACGGCGAGTGGTACTTACCAGAAGTGTGAGCGTAATTATAATCTTCGGTCAACGGTTTAATTCGGAACCTTGGCAGTTCGAGAACATTCCCCAACGGCTAGCAATGTTTCATTATTGTTGCGGATGTGATTTAGTAAGGACGCCTTGTTCGCGAGTGTCCCAAGCAGACTGTTGGCTTTTATGAGAGATCCAAAATGACATCCACAAAATACACTTTACCTTAATTAACTCGTAAATAGCCGATTTTCATCACCAGACAGTTCACTACATCTAATAGCAGAGGCTGACGCATGTCTCTGACGGAATAATTGCTGTAATTCTGCCAAGGGTTGTCGATTAGTGTTTAATAAACATTATGATCACAATTTTACAATATTAGTGATTAATTAGTAAACAATTTCTACCGCGCATGCGCCCTTTGTGGAATATGTTATTGGCAGTAGTTTTTTACGACAGATACGCAGTCGCCGTAGTCGCCTCGCCGCGGTTCAGAGGTTGCACAAGACAAGTTTACAGAACAACTGCAAGCACACAGCAAAACTGCAGCGTGGCCCTACCACTGTTAAAATGACTTAGGGACTAATATATTTTCTCATTTGAAAGTGCGGTATCGTTTTGCCACATCTTTGGTTACTTTTAATACTCGCTTGCGCTTTTCATACCTCTTAAGAAAACTCTTCTTTACATTTAGGAATGTCTTACTTTTTACAATAGGAACTTTATCATCATGTTTTGTTTACTGCAATCTATTTACTGTGCTATAATGTGCCGTTCCTTTGAATCCAGTCCAGTCTCACTATGTCTTTCAGCCTCACTATGGGCTAGCTCACTTTGTCGCCATTTTGGATTATTTGGCAATACATTCGATTCGATTTCGAAGAACGTTTAGCTTCTTCTTTCTCCTGCTCTTATCCCACACTAAGTGGGCATAATATGTCCTTTCCTTCCACTGTTTCCACCTTTCACAGACATTCTTCGCACAGACCGTCCAAATCTTTCTCGGTTTTCCTCTTGCTTTGCACCCTCCAACTACATTCATATTCATCACTGTTCATCGTCACATGAGTTTCATCCCTTCTCATAATGTGCCCATCCCATGTCAACCTCCCATTCCTTATTTTCTGAGTCACTAGTGCCATTTGCAATCTTTCCTTTACTTAATTTCGAAGAACGTCTATAAATGTTATAAATAGTTCGAGACTCTCCTTCTTATTCCTATTACTATGTAATATTGGGTTGATTTTATTGTCTTTATCCTAATATTGTCAACCCAATTACATCTGGGGCTAACAATGCAAGAGAAATCGTTACGTCAATGAACGGAAGTTGAAGTTCGTAGGCGGCCGCCCACTTATAAATAATGCGTTGTGACCCAAATCTGCTAAACTATGAGCGCTCGTAGACCCTATTGGTTCAAACATAATAATAATAATACAAAACTATAGCTTTAGCACTTTATCGCCCTAAATATGTATCAAGTGGGTGTAAAACGGACACGCTCGTTTTAAAATGACTACGCTACGGCCGAACTCGGAAATTCGTTTAGCATTTAACTAGAATTAAACAACTTTACTGACAATCTTCGGCCTAAAAACTAATAAGACTCCACTTTGTATTTTAACCATTATAATTCTAGTCAATGTCTAATTGTAGCCTCTGAGTACGACTATTTGCGCGTGACCGCTGAAAGGATTTGTTTGAGATTTAGAACAAAATGCTTAAACCAGTTCGCTCATAAAATGAACATATTTGCCTTTTTTTCTCGTTAAATTACGTATTCTCTTGCAATTCGATCTACGATGATGATCTAAAAGCCAGTGTACATTATAAATGAGGTCAATTGTTGAGTTGAAGAGAGTAAGTAGTATCTTCTACTGTTATCGCTCTTCGATTATCGCCAGTCCAATGCTTTTAGAGCACTCAAAAATTGGCTGATTATTGAGATTCTAACTCGCATATTTTTTGGACACAGGCGCTACTTGAATTTTTCTTATCAAACAAGTTTAGTTTGTTAATCACCAGGCATAATTGAACATTATTACCGTTATTGAAGTATCATAGATATACTTATATCTTTAAGTATGTGCAGTATAGCAACAGAAAACATCGTGAAGAAACAAAAAAAAATAACCTCGTCCAAATACCCTCTGTACAGAGGAGGCCTTTACACAGCAGTGGAACTTATACAGGCATGTTTATGTCCTTTGGTGAAATGCGATAGGGCTCTGTCCCGGTAGCAGCGGGTTCCATTCCTACCTAGGAACTGAGGAAAATCGTTTCGGATATGCGTTTGCCCTTTGACTATTAAACGCCTCTATGATGGAGAACATGTGTCTTATCCTGCCGACGAGGATAACAAGTAACCTCACAATGTTAGCATGTCTTAATGCGGATTTTACGTCTATGTATCTTCGAAATATTATCTTGATATAACTTATCTCGATATATTATTTATCAAAGGTATTTTTTTTAACGCCGTAAGTTCCATAATTATTTTACAAATTTAATTATTATAACAACGCTTTAAAGCATATATTTGCCACTGTACATTACGAAAAATCTAGTAGACTAAAGTAACTTTATTTTTTTATAAAGAGTATAACAATCCCATATATTGACGATTTGTTTAAATGAAAGATTAGTATAAGCGAATTTGACTAATAAAGTGATTCTTTGAAGTAAGATACCTTACTTATTTGGACATTATTATATTGTCAATCCGTGACTTATCGCGTTACTTGTTGTTTACTATCAAATACCGTGTCGACAGGTATCGGCGGTTGGGCATGGTCGGCCAGATGGGGCGGCGGGAAGGAGGCCCCGCCGAGCGGCGCGGCAGCCCTGACCGCCCTCAACCCCTCCACCGACCCCCTGGTGGCGGCCCAGTACGCGCCAGTCAGGGACGCCCCCCCCGCCCCGGACGACGAGATGCGCAACCTCATGGACAACAAGGAGTGGTGAGTGAACATTTACTCGTCTTGATGTATAGCTAGACCAGCCAACGTCAAGTATGGGATCTCTAGACCAAAGAGTATAGAGGTTGCACGGGAGATTAGGGTTGAAACTACCCGCCAGAGCTAAGGTATGGAAGAATGGAACATCGTTTCTAGTTTTAAGATATATAATATATACGTACTTTTACTTCACATCTGTTAAGCGAGACACTTCGTACGGGTTCCTCTGGTTTTATGGTTCGTGTGTGGTGGTGATCATTTAACATCAGTTTAAATTTGCTGTTATACATCGGAAGGTTTTTTAGTAGCGTCTTTCGTAAACGTTACTGTCGTGTATACTGTTGAATAATTCACCGAATCAAACTCATGAGTCGCAATGATCCATATTGGTTGGTGGATTCGTGTGGAGTTTCCTTTTGTTTGAAGTAAATAATTTGTCTCCATCTCTTATTATATTTAATTTTATCTACTGTATAACTACGAAATAGTATGAATATTACGCTTCATTTTTCATCGTGACCGGTCAATGTAATTAACAATACAGTTTTCATTACGGGAAAACTTGCTATGGCACTTTTTATACTTGCAACGTTAAAAATATATAAACCTTCCAAAATTTTGCCTGTTTCTTCTCTGTTAGAGGAACCTCATTACGAAACGTAAAAAACGATATCTATCAATAGATGGAATGATGTTTCTTATGTCGATGAATAAATGATTTTGATTTTTTGATTCTTCAAGATCTTTCAAGTAATATAAATATAACAAGGCTTTTGTAAAGCGAGGTGGCGGAAAAACGTCGTGCAGTCACGATGACCAACAGAAATGCGGTCACGTCCGTGGCCCGTCGCAGATCGCTTTAGGAACGGGAACAAACATTTGAAAATAGAACCGAGCTTGACCTTTTCATAAATGGAATTCTAATTCGAATTTTGAAACACTTTTTTCATACTTCTGTTATATAGTTTTTTCGACATCGTGAGAGTTTTTTCAAACTCGTCTTTTTTAGTTAACAAAGCATTACTTTCTTATGCATTTAAACCTAAAGTATGCTTAACAATATAGTACCTGGAGGACCGAGCTTTGCTCGGTTGTCTTTTTTTTTTTTTTGGTAAATCGTGTATTTTGGAAATTACATTTAGATACAAATTACTAATGCCCAGTTTCCGAAAGGCCAATCAAAGCAGCAATCACATAACACTATGTCAAAAATGATCAGTTGTTAATCTCTTGTTAAACTGCCTTGGGTTTCTGGAAGGTTTGTTCAAGAAAAATTAGCTAATCACTGTATAACTAATGATAATGAATGAAATGAATAATTTACTTCAGCTAACTCTTTCTATTGTATAGCTGTCTCTTTTTAAATAAAACTTAATTTAACGTCACTATTCAGTCCTGTCACCGTGTGATTGCCAACGTAAAAATCCGAGCTATAATAAAATTTAATTTATATAAATACATGAAAAATGTCAAAAAAAAAACTTTACAGAACGTGAAAAAAATGTACTTTTATCCATAATAAACAAGTAAGTATTATAAAAAGAAAAAATCCATATTATTTATTAACTTTTCAATTGCATTTTGTATTTTTTCTAATCACATGATACGTTCGCATAATAATAAATAATAAATAGTTAATAGAACACATGAATGTCCTAACAACGTATTAGGGAATTATGTTTATTTTTAATAAAAACTAAGATTTTTGATGAATAACATTTTTAACCAACGATTGATCGTCCAAATTGACAGATTACTTAATAAAACTTTTGACAGCTCGTTGACCACCGAAAAGCGCTTTCAGAAACTCGATTTTCTGTTGATTGTCCGTTAATCAGTGACTAATTGCAAATCAAAATCAATGTTTTTTTAAGACGTTCTAGCAACTCAGATCATGTTAAACAACGATTGACAAGAGATTTATCGTAAATTAAAATTGATTGCGCTTTCGGAAACTGGGTGTAAGTAATGAAATATGCATAATATGTTTCGATCTTACCGGCGTAATAATAAGAAAATATGAACTGGTATTTTTCACAAAAGAAAGAACTTTAAAAGAAAAGGGGAAAAAATAACAAAATAACAAATAGACAAAAAATAAAAGATAAAGAAAGCAATGATCTGGAATCGAAAAAAGTAAAAAAAAGTGTGTATATGATCGTGATACGAACCACGGCCTTCTGTTTCGTGGCTGTTTGTTAGCGGCCGCCCGATTACCCACCGAGCTATTATAACATTTTTTTTCGGTGAAATTTACCGTCGTATCCGAATAGTATTTTTCGCCCCCGAATCTACGCACATACTAAATTTCATGAAAATCGCTGGAGCCGTTTCCGAGATTCCAATTATATATATATATATATATATATATATATATATATATATATATATATAATATATATATACAAGAATTGCTCGTTTAAAGGATAAGATTTTTAACGCATACTTTAGGTTCAAATATACAACGAAATAGGAAAAAATCACGTTAAGTCAGAAATTCAAAACATCAGTGTTTGGAACTATTTTTTGAGAATACAAGTGTATCTTACACTTGTATTCTTTGGTGGGAAACACATCTTTTAATTTCAAAGTAACTAGATTTTTTTTATTGGGAGTATAATTTTATGTGGCCAACGAGCAGGCGCAGCGTTTAAGTTCGAAAAATCCTTTATGGATCTTGTTTTACCAGATTGGGTGAGTGGCAGAGGTTGGAGTCCCGGTCAGAAACGGGTACCCACTTAAAAACCTCCTATTCTCGGATGCTACGTTATCGGCACCTTAGCCAAATGGTGCTGTGCCGGTGCAATTAGCACAGCGCCCTTCAGGAGCCCCATAATGAGCAGACAGCGCCATGCCTGCCGCTCGGGGTCTGACTATCAGGGGGAAGATTGCCCGTTTTGCAACCTCCTCCTGGTCTCTGGCGCCGGATAACCATGGTAGCAATTGCGTATTCTAGTCTCTCCGTGGCCTCCTTCCGGGTGATATCGTCCTCTCAAAATGCGAGGACAGCACCCCACGCCCTATCGTTGTCAAGAATAGCGCGAACTACGCTAAGCAGTGAGAAGTCACGCAACAAGAGAGCCCTCACCTGACGCTGCTACTCCGTCCGGGCTGGGCACTTCCCCAGCGTGTTCGGCCGTCCTCTCGGGCATATACGTCACAGTTCTTCTTACCACGCGAAACAGATACCTCCCGAAAGAACCGTTCCCAAGAGGACTTGCGTCTCACGGTAGGTCAGGTCCCGTGTCGCCTGTCCAGCTACCTCCTGAGGTCTGGAGGTATGGCCCCCACGCCTTTTATACTGTGGGCCATACCGCCACTGGGGTGCTCCCAATCCTCAATGGCGTTCGAGCGCAGCCGTTCCCTGCTCTCCCCCAACTCGTCTGAGGCCGGCGGCGTATGGCCCAAACTACATAGCACTGCCACACTTAATTGCAAAAGTACCAGAAAAAGATGCTGTGTGGAGCTCAGTTACAAACGGGTATTGTCGATTAATATTCGTGAAAATCAAAACTGAGAATTTTGCAAATACATTGACCCCTTCAATCTTGCATAAATCAACTCTGCGAGCGTGTTTATAACATCCTTATGAGTCATATCCGGACTTCAAATAAGTATCATTCAACATCACAGTTACCCATAAATTCTCTTTCGAAGAAACTTGAGACTTGGACTCAAAGATAAGGTTGATCATTAGAGCGCTTCGTCAACAGACCACAGTTAATAATACTGGCCATAATGCTATGAGTAACTTGTTTTGCTTTCAAACGATCAATTCGCTAATATAATTATATATACTTAATATAATTATATATAGCATTCTATATATAATTATATTAAGCGTTGCTTGTCGGAGTGTAACCCCGGTGACATCTGACTGAGCCACAACATGTAGTGCCAGTGGTCGTTGTTCAAAACACATTAGAAAGGAAACAGCTAATGAAACGTCCCCACTAAAAGGGCCACCGTTTCGATTTCCGCTCATTGTAGGATGATCCTTTATTTACGCACGCCCCTCGCATAAATATAGATATCACACGTGAGTCTCGTTTGTACGCGTCCACACAATGCCCCCGTCGGACCATTGTCGGTTCAAGGCAGGTGCTAACACCTCGCGCAAGGGACGCCTTTGTCTTGGCGTGTTTACATAAGTTTTCTTGTATCCGCACACTGCTGGTCGGCGTTTACGCCGTTCTGTTTATATAAATCCAGTTAATTGTTGCATAACGGAACTAATTGCTCGGTTCACTGATATGGTGTGTAACATAGCACGCGTTTCTTTGAGTAATGCTGCTTATAATATTATATCGTCATACCTCATAGATTTTTGTAGACGGCGATCATAGATAGAACACCCCGGAACGCGACGAGGCCGAAAACAGTATCTGTCTTATTTATTTTAAGCGAAAAGACATATAAGTAAATGCATGCAAATTTTGATCCAATTTCGCCTCTTGTGTGGATAACGTTTAATAACGCGAGTCTATATTAGAGTATAAATATAGAAATAGTATCTTATCATGTAAACAAAATGGAAATGTATTTTGCTTTGATAATGGTCCAAGCATTTCAATAACAATACTGACCGTAGCTTGAAGTAACTCGCTTTGTCCGGTACCGTCTTACATTAAAGGCACCCCTTTGACTTTGGGTCACGAGTCACTATATTCTCATACGCTACAAATTCGCCATCGCTTCTAATTTTTTCATCCATCTATCGCATGTCGCATTACAGCGGTATATAGACGGAAAATTTTGACGCCAATATGGCGGCGCCCATGGCTCGTATCAGCTAACCGCGTAGCATTTATATTTATATGAATTGTTCATTATTTATACCTAATATTTTACTGAAAATTTTCAGTTAAATGCCTACGATCCGAAAAAAAAATCACTTGCATTGTGGTTTTATAAAACCACACATGTTCTTTTTGTTTATATTTAAGTATCACCGAAAGCGACTGCCAGTTTGAGAAAAAATAATCTATTTTGCATCTGTGATGTAAAAGCCTTTTTAGACACGTTTTTGTGGGTGAGAATCGAACCCACAACTTCGGCAAACCGGGTCATCAAAAGTATTTAAATTGACGAATGCAGTATTCATCATCATCATCATTTCAGTCAGATTTAGTCCATTGCTGGACATATGCGTTGGTTCGTTCTTAATTTAAATATAAAACTTTATATTTTTGTATTACTACGCGAATTATATTTTTTTTTTATTATAAGGTTTCTTATTTCTCCTATTTTTCTCTTTTTGCCCTTACTTTAAGATAACATTATCATTATATAGTTTTACAAATGTAAATTTCACGTAGCCGAAGCCAATACCTTGCCTTCTGCCACACGGAGTCATGGTAAATGCATCTCAGTAGTAACCGTAGTTATGTTGATGTTTCCGTTTTGTTTTTCAGTCTGAGCAGCGCGGAGGAGAGCGATAAAATGCTAGACGGGCGGCCTTCGGTGGCGTAAGAGAAATTGAACAGGAAAAGTTTCATCGCAGCTCGCTGGCCAGCCCGTGTAACATTTCTGTCCCCCTATTCTTGTACGTGTACGGAGCCCAATCCCTGATACATATAATATTCGTAAGCATAGAAAACATATTTTCGTGGTGACACCTTTTAACGCCCTTTTTGAACGCGTCTATAGCTCTACAATAAGGTAAAAGAGGTTATAATTATAAGTATTTTTAATTTATGTACGTTAAGCGGTAGGAGGTAAAAATATACCTACAATGAACGATATGTTACGTCACAACTTTTCGGTTAGTTATATGTGATAAATTATATTAACAATCGTGTTGGTAATATTGAATTGAGTTCAATCGGCAAGTCCAATTTTCTAGTATTTAATTTTTGATATTTAAAAACCGACAATGATCCCTTCTAACAATAATTTCAATTATTTACGTAAGTGAATAATTAATAATAGGTGCATAGTTACACTTAATCTTTACTGTATATTGTATTGTATCTCATTGAAATTACGACTAAGATTATTTGTTGAATAACATGTGATTGTTTAAAGACATGTGGCCAAATTATCGTCCATATTTTTAGGATTATAACTAACCCATTCATATAGCTGTCTCTTATTTATTGTATCTATCGATATATAGTTATTACCACAGAGTGTTGTGCAACTGAGCTTTGCGTATTGGAAAGTTATGATGTTCAAGTAACTTTTTCGAATACATGGCTGCTGAGCCGTTTTTAAGATGCGCAACGTTCGCCTTACAATCGGATGCGTAGTAAATGATTTTGTTCCAAGACCGCAGACGTCGATTGAAATTTATTTAATTTGACAAGTCACCCTTAAATATTACTATTAGACAGAGTACATTGCTAAGGACGAATAATATGAGAGTCACTCAGAGCTCATAATCGACGTCTGTGGCAAAGTTTATTCAAGAAATTGTATTACTAATTTGTTTGTAACGCATTTGTCATAGTTTTTAATCGCTGACTTAAAAGTTTTAAGTTTGTAACATTAGAAATATTAAAGGCGAATGTTGCGCATTATTGAAGGCGCTGAGTGTAATTTTGCTTTAAAATACATGTTCGCTTGTAGGAAAAACATTCATTTTTAGGTGTTAAAAACGTGTTTTATATATCTCGTAGCTATTTTATATATTTTTCGTAATGTTCTCCTTTGAAATGTTTTATTTTGACACCGTCCTTTATAGATTTAAGTCGTCCAGAATTATCGTGAGTCCGCACACCCTTCATATAAAGGGGTCATGTCCAGTAGATGGATTTCGTGGCATTTGATTTTATATAATTATAAAGTTTGATATGATTTATTAGAAGCTCTCTCGAATCTCGTGTGAAACGAATTATTTAAAAAGCAAGAAAACAATGTAAACGTCATCACAATCAAACTTTAACATGAATCGTGCAAAAAAAAAAGATAGATTATGTAAATAATTTGATGGATAAGAAACAAAGCCATAAGCTGCAGTTGTAGACAATATTTTATGTATTTTTTTTAAACTTGTTTGTCCTCCAAATCTGTTTATGATATTTTATGTTCCTTTTTATGTAAGAAACTAAAGTTAGTTTACTTTATGGCAAGTGTTGATTATCATTGCGCGTGAACTGTATTTAACACAAATATTTATAATTTATTATAGTACTCGAAGTACATTTTTTTCTATTTATATGTACTTAATCTTCAAATCTTTATCTTTAATAAAGCTAAGAGGTATATAATGTACGACTTGTTTCATTTATTACCGTACAACCAATATAAATTTTTATGAGCTTTTTGAAGTTAACGAGTGTTTGTTCGTCATTTGTTTGTGTGCCTTTCGTTTGTTCTTTTGTTTGTTTGTAAGGTGATGCATGCTGTAAATGATGCATACGAATGATGAATGGGACCAAGCATTGCTCAAATTCAATTGAAAAAAAGGAGATAGATATCGAGATTTTCGCGCCTTGAGGTCATCGGCCGCTCAGCTTAGACTTTAAAACGTCTGGTCGCGTTCGAGCACTAGCGAAAGTTTTTGTACATTTGTCTACAAAAATTCACAATTGAAAGACGAACAATTTTTACGCAAAATAATTGGAAGGACTCAACTTCAGAGCATCAGTTTTAACTGAAACGGCTAATAAAATCTATAAAGGCTAAGCTTGTAATAAAACCATAATTTTATTTAAGGATATTAAAAACTTTACTTGATCACTCATTGAAAAATACGTAAAATATTAAAACGACAACATTTCTCACAAAGCTTTATTTATTACAAGATCATGGTATTCGCTTAGACACAAAAATAAAATATTTTAATTTTTTTGTAAATATATATACTTAAAGCTAATCAGTCTCTAGTATTAGTGCGACGCCACCAAGGAACTCCCGTTATATCATCATCAGGGCACATGTTCACGGTAGGTCTGTGAACAAAACAATGTAGGTTATAACAAAAAATAAATATTTATCAATTGTATGACGACCAGGGGAAAAACTTTGTTTTTCACATCTAATAGATACCCCAACACGAGGAATAGTGTGTAGGATTATTTAAAAATAAAGAAACAAGCATAATTGTTATAAACAAGAAGTTATTATACGAACACATGGAAATATTTTGGGAGAGAGAAAATTAAAAATATTAATAAAATATTGCAAAAATAAAAGCAAACAGGTACTATCGGCTTTGCCGATAAGTATTCTTTACACGTCATATTTAGCAGGAACTAATTACATGAAACAATGGATTCACCAACAATGATATATAAAAACTCTCAATAACAAAATGTAAAAACAAAGAAAGATAACATTGGGTGAGTATACGACATCAATTTATTTCTTCAATTTAATTCTTAATTCATTTTTGTGTTAAACATTTAACTCAATAAATTAAACACTATACCTGTAAACTCGACTATGAGGTAGAGTAGAAGACGTTATTAATGGGCAAGCAGTGGCCGGCGCTTCCTGTAAGCATCAATAATATAGAGTAAGGGTAAGAGATATATAATTTGTATTCGAGAAATTTTTCTCTGCGGTTTTTCTGGTTTACAAAGACGAGGCTATTATTCTCGCATGTTCAGTGATTTTCCTCATCTAAATTAAAATGATATCATACAAAAGCTTTTTTTTTTAATGTGAAAAGTTGCCAAACGAGCAGACGGTTCACCTGATGTTAAGTTAATACCGCTGCCCATGGACATCTGCTACACTTTTTGTTTTCTTTTTTTTTTTGTTTACGTGGGGGAAATGCCTACGCATACCCGCTCTCGCGGGGGCAAGAGCGGGTTATGTCGGACTCGCACCGACTAAAACTAAAACCCCCACGATGTTCCACCTAGGCGCATATCGGCAGGGTCACGGGAACGCTTTCGCACACTCGGCCCCATTTTCACGGCCAACGAACTAGACATCTGCTACACCCGAGGGTTACAGATGCGTTGACAACCTTTTGAAAATTGGGTTCCGGCTACCTCACTCACCAGACGAAACGCGAAAGTATTTGACATACTTCCACTTTACGCTGGTCTTTCTGTGAGGTCGTTATACTTACCCGGAAAGGCCTGCCCATTCGTGCAACAGCCGAGGCAGCTGCGTGGCCCTACCACCGTAGAAAAGCTTCCATAAAGTTTTATGTTTTATTGTATCTTTAACATAAAAGAATTTTGCCTTCAAAAACAGTCCTCATTAGTACTTTCTTAAGGCTATATTTAGAAAAAAATATCTTCAGTCACAAAATTTTATAAAATATCATTTTTTAAGCTCTCTCGACGGCGTTTAGATATATTTATTCGTTCTTAAATAATATTTTTTTAAGAATAATATATTTATTGCATAAAATACTATACTAATTTGTTTATATACAAAATTAATGACACTGTTACAAATAAAGCCATACCTCACACTGAGGTCAGAAACTTTCAATTGCGTCACCTTTTACATTGTTGATCAAAAAATCATTTTTGTAAATTTCACCTTTGATGGGATGGACATGTGTCCATTTAACTTCAATAATTCTGGATTGTATATGTTATAACAATCCAGAATTATTGAAGTTAAATTAATAAACCATTGTATTGTATCTGAAACTGATATACCCCTGATTTTTATATATTTTTCAATTGAGAGATTTTTCAAAGCTACATCTCCTTTGGGCATAAAAACGCGTTTAGATGAAAACAATTTTATAGAACCCGATAACTTAGCCTAAAAGTTCCCATTTTCCTTACAAGACAAGATCGCTATATGCAGTTTTTACCCAATGCATGCCGGCAGACCGTTACCTTTCAGCTAGGTCATCATCATCCTCATTTCAGCCTGTTTGAGTCCACTGCTGAACATAGGCCTCCCCCACAGACCCATGTTAAACATGTGCATAGTTAATATATTGAAAGAGCTTTTGTTTCTCGAAGCAAGCTTTTGCTCTTTTACGGTGGTAGGGCCACGCAGCAGCCTCGGCTGTTGCACGAATGGGCAGGCCCGTCCGGGTAAGTACCACGACCTCACAGAAGACCGGCGTATAGTGAAAGTATGACAAATACTTTCGCGTTTCGTCTGGTGAGTGAGGTAGCCGGAGCCCAATTTTCAAAAGGTTGTCAACGCCTCTGTAACCCTCGGGTGTGGCAGATGTCCATGGGCGGCGGTACTCACTTAACATCAGGTGAACCGTCTGCTCGTTTGACAACTTTTAGCATAAAAAAAAAAAGCAATGCACTAAGAAATTACAACCATTGTTATTACACAATAGGAACTATATGGTACCAAAAGTTCATTAGATCATGATTGTGACTTGCAATGATTTAGCATGAAAATGGAAATTTATTACGTGAGAAGGTGGCAAACAAGCTGAAGGCAGTTCACCCAATGTTAAGTGATAACCGCCGCCCTTGGAAATTTGCAACACCCGATTGGTTGCAGATAAGTTGCCACCTTTTCATCAAATGGCCCCGGCTACCTCACTCAACAGACGAAACACAGAAGTATACTACTTCTACTTCACGCTGGTCTTCTGCCAGGTCGTGGTACTTCCCAGGACGGAACTGCCCATTCGAGCTCCCGCATAAACTGTTGCGTGGCCCAACCACAGTTTCCAGATCTAGTCTCAACATACCGGTATGGGTTGCATTGGTATATGGATGTTGGCACGCAGTTTCCTTTGCCTCATTTCGCGTCGCACGCAGCACTGTACACCGAGCAGCACGCTACACACGCACGACGCTAAGCATCCTGTAAGTGTGTATGGTGATTTTGTTACCCATGGATATAATTATGAAAAGTAACATCAACTATCATTATTTATTGATGAAATGACTGATAAAGTACCGATATTTGTATTTATGAATGATAAGCCTAGCTTAATATAGTATAGTAATAGTATTAATGCCGTAATATAGGTAATTTATTGCATACATTCATTTTAAGTAAAACAAAACTAATGCTACTTGCCAATAATCATAAAAAATATTAACGTTAAACAAAATCCATAATAAAAAAAAATGTTTTTCAAACAAACTAATTAATTAAAAAAGAAACAAAATTTTTAACACCTATACAACTACAAGTGACTGATTCATACATTCAGAGACTCATTCGTTGCCACAGCGCCGCATTATAAGCCTCTCCTTCTAACAGTATGTTTTGTCTCTTTTAAATTCATTCAACCCATTAATATGCTTTGTGACCTTTACAAATAAACTTTACAGTTTTATACGTAAGGGTGTTCTAAAATTCTTTGTTTTGGAAAATTTAATAACTCTGTAAATATTGATGTTTAAAGAATGTAAATGTTTAATACAATTTTAAAAAGTTATCCTCTATATGTGTGTTTTCGTGTGTTTTACACACACATGAAAAGAGGAGTCCAACACAATAAATTTATGTGTATATTCGCTAATAAAATAAAATCCTACCAATATAAACCAACACTCCAAGATCAACATTGTAAATTGTTCGGCGAAGAGAAATTCAACAAAAAAAATTGATACAAACAATTAGACCTGCACTGTGCTTTAGATATACCAAATGTAACTGGCTATGAAAGCGAAAGAAAATGTGTGCTTGCACCTCTCTCTCTTGCACCTACAGTAATAAACTAAATGTAACTCTCTCTCTTTGTAACTTCACTAACTTATATCTCCCTCTCAATTTCTGTTCACCTCGCCCGATCACACTTTTCGTAATGCTTTCGTCACGCATTCACCAGCTTACTCCCCTAGTCAAGTGTGCATAGTTTTACTTTAAAAATAATTTAAATATTTGCTAATAAAATAGAATCTCACCAATATAAACCAACACTCCAAGGTCACCATTGCGATTTGTTCGCCGTAACACAATACCAGCAATGCATAGAGAGATTCCAGTTAAAATACCTACAACAAATATAACCTGAAACCAAACACACATTATTTAATATATTTTATACAACTATTTATTTATACATTAAATAGATAAAACTTAAATCATAGATAACTACATATGTGACAAACATTTACAGACAAACACAAAAGACACCAAAAACGAAACTTAATAGCTTATTCATCAATAACATAAAATCCAAAAAACATTTCTATACAATACTATAAAAAAATAAATTTAGAGTATTTTTTTATTCATATGAGAATAATCATAAACCAAAAATAAAGTAAATATAAGAAATTAAAAGTAAAATTTAAAAACTGATACAGTAACATGATTTCACAAAACAGAAAAATAAAATGTTCATTTTTTTATTAACGAAAGACAAAACTGACTTGAAATATCACTCTGTATTCATTTTATAATTGATTTTCAGGAGTTCCCTATCTTCAGAGCCCAAGATCCTATACCAATGAAAATAATATGGGACCACTTGGAAAGCACCAGATTTCAAATAAAAAAAGAATCATCAGGAAGCACTCAGTCAAGTTCTGAGGTAACAAACATAAAAAAAAAATAGAGTAGAATTGAGAACTTCCACCTTTATGGAAATCAGTTGAAAATAACAAAAATGACAAAAATGTGAGAAATACAAATGAAACTATAGCACAAATAAGTATCTACTGAGTTATACATATATCTGGCAATTTAACGGAATGCGAATATTGAAATGCAGTAATAGTTGGGGGCAATCATTCTTGTTATTGAATATTTTTAGAGCAAAAGTGATTTCAAGCAGAGCATTTTAATATACTTCTTGTCGGGTATAGACAGTTGCGTATTTTAGTATCCAATAAAATTATATTTTATGTGTAAAATAAAGTATTACAGAGATATTTTTTGATGCTAATTCCTAACTAACAAATTACACCATCTGTGGTAACAGGACAGACATTTTACTGAATCTGAAATCTAATATCTTTTTTAGATATAAAATAATTGTTAATATGTCTGCATTTTCCTTTGTCACTATTAATTGTGCTAATGAATTATAGGACACTTACTTGTAAAATATAGTAGCAAACATATTCAAAGCCTGGGCAATGCCCTCCGCAAGCCCCAATGATAGGCACTTCGGGGCTTACAGATGGTACTGGCGTGACTGGTGAACGGTTCACAGCTTGTGCGTGGATATCTACATCACACAATGGTAGTGAAAATGACGACGCACACGGAGGAAATGTGTAAGTTTCTGCTGCTGCGCAATGAATGGGCACTTTCTCTCCTTTTCTATAATTACGCCATGTGCCGGTCCCGGTGCCGTAAGGGGTTTGGTAAACAGGGGAAGGTGGTCCACACTCCCTCAATGTTCCACTGTAATAATTTGGCAACTGTAACAAATAATTATAATTTGTAGAAATTAAGTATTTCGAGAATAATTATACTGAAAATAATTATACTAAAAAAACTGTAAGCTATAGTTATAATTAATAACTAGATGACACACATGATAAGCGTTATCTGATGTAGAGCTGTCTGTTCCAGCGACTTGGTAAACAGGTGTATTTATTTGATCTGCCCAAGGATATTTTACTCTCTGTTGCGAGGCTGACGAGAACTGTTGCTGGCTTCTGGGTACAATAGTAGTTTGGTAGGGGTGAATACTCCTCGGAGACAGTTGTTGTTTGAACATTTTTTGGAAATTGTTATAAAGAAGAATATTTTACAGAAAAAAACATGACTAGCATAAAATCCAAAACGTTACACCCATGTGATAGTTGACCCACATCATCTTTCAGTCACATAATTTATTTTCAATTCAATTACGTAGTAAAATGACAGAAACTTTATTAAATGGAAGCACAAAAATTGTTAAATTTACACTTTATTATTATCATTATTACATTACAAACAAATCAACAGTCATGAAAAACGCCTTGTTTTTTTGTGCATAGACTGGCATAGAGTAATAAATGGTGGGCATGGGCAAAAAATATCGATATATATAAAAGTATCGATATTTTTCCAAATAAATATCGATATATATCGTCGAAATTTTTACAAAACACCTTAAAAAGAAGTGAAATTCAATAGTCGTCCTTAAGTATCTAATGTGGCAGGCTTCTTCGGTGTCTTCAGAAAGAGTTACTTCAGCTGTGAATCTGTCCAGTACCCAACAATAGAAGCCGTTTGACAGTAAAGCACATTAAACAGAGGTTGCCTTAATGTCTACAGCGTAACGTTAAACAAAATCCATAATTAAAAAAATATATTTTTCAAACAAACTAATTAAGTAAAAAAGAAACAAAATTTGTAACATCCTATACTACTCGCTTCACAGCGTCGCATTACAAGCCTCTCCTTCTAAAAGTACGTTTTGTCTCTTTTAAATTCATTCAACCCATTCATATGCTTTGTGACCTTTACAAATGAACTTTACGTTACAGTTTTATACGTAAGGGTGTTCTAAAATTCTTTATTTTGGAAAATTTAATAACTCTGTAAATATTGATGCTTAAAGAATGTAAATGTTTAATACAATTTTAAAAAGTTATCCCCTATATGTGTGTTCACTTATTGTCGCGATTGTAAAGACACGCTGTATATCAGATGACTATTGGTACGAATAAATTGTATTTTATTGAGCCGATTTTAAATAAATATTACTTTTTTCTTTTAAATGGTTTGGAAATATGAATAATTAAAATTACATATTTCGTACTTTACACTATCCATATCTAAGGTACAACATGGTATAGAGGATAGAGGTGTTACAAATCATTAATATTGAACTACATGTTAAGCTAATTTAAAAATAACATGCAAAATATTAATGGTATCAACTAAAGTTACTTTATTTAAAATAAATTAACAGAATTTTATTATAATCAAATTCATCACATTTATAATATAGTGTCAAGTTTTCATAAAAAATTCTTTGAAGTCATAAGTAAAGTAAAGTAAAGTAACAGCCAATACATGTCCCACTGCTGGGCAAAAGCCTCCTCTATACAGAGGGTATCAGGGCATAGTCCACCACGCGGCCCCACTGCGGATTGGCGGACTTCACATATTTTCGAAATATATATTTTTTTGTTATTATTTCGAAAATATGCAGGTTTCCTCACGATGTCTTCCTTCACCGTGGAGCACGTGATAAGTCAGCACTTAAAGTTAAAAACTTCATTGGTGCCGGCACCGGGGATCGAACTCAGGTTGCTCGAGTATATGGAATTAAAGGCGAACGCCCGGACACTGAGCTATCACGGTTCTCTTGAAGTCATAAAAATTATTATAATTTAACCACTGTAACTTTTTTATTGTCAATCAAACAACTAGTACTAAATTCTGCAGATATAGGCGTGTCTTTGAGGACAAGTCTCTGCGGATTTCTTTTTGATCCTTTATCAACTTCGTTTTAAAGAATTCTTTGTTTTTTTAAAAAGTTGCATGTTTTTATCATTAGTTTTTTTTTATTTAATTCAGGGCTAAAGAAAGTGATTTATGTTACTACATAGGCTGTTTTTTTTTTTTTTTGTTAATTAATTGTTGTTAATTAATGTTTGTTAATTAATGTTTCATAAAGATTTCTAATTCGTTAAATTGAATCAGCCTGAACTAAATACATCGTTATTTTTAAACCATATTTTTTTTCGACATATCGAGGCCAATATATATATATATATATATATATATATATATATATATAAAGATATATCGATATCTATGATATACTTTTTGATTGTCGGCATCCCTAGGTAATTAGATATGGGCTAAAAATATCGATATTTATCCATAGAATTACCGATATATATCGTCGATATTTTTTATCGCGATATATCGATATTCGATATTTATTTCAGACTGTCGAATTCGTGACTCGTGTCCATTTCGATATATTTTTTAACGCAACTCGCGTTCTTTCGTGGTTAATGTTACTACATTCTTTTTGCATGTTTCTTACGAATCGTTAACTTTAAAAACTTTATTGAACCATTTTCTTCATGTCTTTTCTATTTCACGTATTATTAATGGTTTGAAGATAGGTATGTCTGCATAATCAAAATATCGTAATTTTTCACTCGATATTATACATCCACATGCATTTATTAAAAGGCGGTTATTTTTATATTACAAACAGACACTAAAATTTTACTTATCCGTGTAGATTAATATTTATAAAATAATATGTGAAATATTACTTAAGGACAAGAACATTTTTCAAGTAAATATAGGTTTGCTTAACAACTTTTTGAAGTTATTAAAGTTAAACTTCTTTAGGCGCGTTATGAATAAAGGATGTGCGTGAAGTTTTAAGACGCTCATCAATCTAACACAAAAGTAACACCTTTGGAGCTGCCCGTTTAACCGCTGATTCTTTTTTTACATGGCAGCATATTCTCATCACATTCGTCCATAAGGAATGTAGATGGCATGAAGTTCATAATTTTGTACAGGGTGGCTTTTCCAAGTGTATCCATTTTTTTATTAAATTCTAGACATAAATAATGTTATATAAAAATAAGCCGTCACGAGACGCCTGGCAGATGTGAAACATCGACATTATTTTGTAAAAGTAATATGCAGAAAAGAACAGATTGTGATAGGAACTAAATATGTCATAATGATAAAATAATTATATTACGATTTTTTTCCAGATAACGATGACTATTTATTGAATAAACATTTATTTTCATTAAAAACAAAAATTTACGAATTTATTTCAAATCGTGACTACTTAATTCGTTTAATCAGCGACTTTGGTAATAGTACACACAATTAATTAAAGTTAATTTAACTAATTAATAAATGATACATAATTATTAACAACTAATTTAAATTTGAGTAATTAATCGTACACACTACTGCATATAGACTGTATATATATATATATATACCATCTTATAGCGTGGCGACGCGTCGCCACGCCAGAAATCGGTTTTACGAGCGGCTATAGATGTTTCACATCAAAAATGATAAATATTTAAAATCACTCATGAGTAATTAATTACATTCATTTGTACTTATCTCAAAAAATTCGTGATTTATAGAGTTTCACAATTCACACAAGTTCGAACACAGTAAAATTTAGGTATTTATGAATGATTACCGTATCATCAACACGTTCTGTTTTTTAGGGAATAGAATGGCATTTTTTTTGGAAAAAACCTAACTATTTTTATAAACGATTATATTACGGAGTCTGAACCCCTGTGGAAATTTGGGCACTTCTCCAAAAGTCTCCCTGTATTATTTATATCCGTTTTCAGTCTTTTTATTATTTTATTGTTATTAATTATTTGCATGCAATTAAAAACTATTTTGTTATGATGCCAAAGAAGTCTTCTTGTATTATCTGATGTTTTTGCTTTCAGTCCCGAGACTATTAAAGTTTCATCTGACGCAGAACCGGTGGGCTAGCCAGAACCCACGGGTTTGGAGTTTGGGCCCTCCGTCGTGGGTACGCCGCGAACGAAATAGAACTTCTCACGCGTTTAAGTACACGCACACATTATTTTTCTTTTCGACTTGTGGCATCAGCAATCGTTCCTCTTTTGTCACTGTTCTAATATATCAGCCTCTATATATCGAAGAGAAAATATCGATATTTTTTTTTTAGGTTTTGTTGTCTAAAAAAATTTTTAAATATTAAATATGGAATGTACGGACTCTTTAAAATCAAAAATATCGTTTTTGATACGATTTCGATATTGAATATTTTATATCTAAAATCTCTAGTCATGTAATAAAAATATCGATATTTTTATTCGGCATACCTATTCAGAACACTGATTATTAGTGATTCTGTTACCTTTTCTTTTGTCGAATGCGGAGTGTGGACAGATCACAGAACTGTAATCATAAATCAAAATCAATCAAACCCAAAAACAATTTTGCCTATGTCATTGGTTATTGTGCTAATTTAATATTCAAAATACACGAAAAAGAAATCTTGAGAAATATAAGTGCTAAGCTTGGGATAATACGGTATTAAAAAAGTTTCGGAGTACTCAAGTCAAGATGTAAAATATCTATGTACATTGAAATTTAGCTTTACAATCAAGTGATGTGAATATAAAACACTATATGGATACCGTAACAAACGATCAACAATGAAAGAAATTAAATCTTCATGGTAAAACTTTTCAATTAATGGTAATCATGATTGGCAAAGGCACGAGTCTTGATGGTGCGATGAGCGTTTCTGACGATATTGATAGTTCGACTCCAAGCGCTAGTAGCTTTTGCAAGGATTACATCAGGGGATTTTGTTTACGAGATAATAATTGTAGATATATTCATGAAATACCACCGAAAAATAGGTTAAAAGAGATATTTCGTTTCTGTCATGATTTTCAAAACAAAGGCTGTTACAGAGCAAATTGCAAGTTTATTCACAGTTCAGCTGACGAAGAGGCACATTTCTACGAAACTGGGATATTTCCACGAGACCCTCGCATTTTACCCACTTGTCAAAATGTTTTGCATGGCACATGTTCAAATCAAGATTGTAAATTTCATCATCCTGAGGTGGTTACTAATAAGATAGTTCCTGTGCATAATTTTCCCCCACCTACTTATAACCGTCCCCCACCTCCTATCAGAAATGATGATTCTCCTCCAGAGGCTAAATTGAGGCGATTTGCTTTTGATGAGACTGTACTTGAAAAGCAAGTTTTATCACCATCTGATATATGTACCAATTGTGAAACTTTAAACCATAAAGTCAAGTTATTACATGATAATATAAGTGTCTTATTAAAGAAAATTGCAGATTTAACTGAAAAAAATGTGCAGCTGACGTCTATGAATGAATTTTTACTTGAGCAGAATTCAGTGAGAAACAATCAACCATGTGTAATAACATCAAGACATGGTACATCTGCTCCTGTATCACTGGCAACTGTGAGTGTTACCCCAGTAGTGAGTTTAGCTGGTGCCTTGCCAGCGTTGGTTCCAGCTGCAGCAAATCCAAATTTAACATTGGCTCCTGCTGCCTCTAGAGCACAGCTTTTAACACCGGCACCTCAATTACTCACTGTAAGTACTACTCAACAACTAATGAGTAACTCAGGAGCATTGATTGTAACTAGCGCTGGAGCACAACAACTGATGCAAGTCAGTGACTCCGGTACCTTGATGGGTGGTGGCCAAACAGTTGTTGCAGTGACCCCAGCGCAATTAACATTAGCACCTCCCACCCAACAGTTAATGAGTAACGCATCCCAAACGGCTGTACAACAACTTGTCCAGCAATCTGCACTTCAGACACAATTAGGCCCGCAGCATCAAGCATCTCAATATGCAGCAGCACAACAATCGGTGCAACATTTAGCAGCTCAACAGTCTGCTCAGCACCTTGCAGTACAACAGTCAGCTCAACATTTAGCAGCCCAGCAATCTGCACAACATTTGGCTGCACAGCAGTCCGCCCAGCATCTTGCAGCTGCACAACAATCTGCCCAGCATTTAGCACAGCAGTCAGCTCAACAATTGGCAGCAGCAGCACAGCAGTCAGCTCAACAAATGGTTGCACAACAGTCTGCTCAGCAGCTAGCAGCACAACAGTCTGCACAACAGCAGTTGGTGCCTTCCAGACAACAATTGGTACATCAAACACCTTCACAGCAGATAACAATTTCAAGCACTAGTCAACCAATGGCACTGCCAAACTCACAGGCTCAACCTATAACATTTCCAATAATCTCTCAAAGTATTTTACCACATTGAAATTTACTTGTATGTTCCTATAAAAAGGAGTATTAAAATGCTTTTTTGTGTATATGGAATTGTCTGAGGATTTGTGATTTGTACATGACTGCTAAAGTCATGGCCAATTTAGATCAAATAATATGACCATCATTATGTATGAAAAAAAGGCCTTTGTAAGAATTAAAACAAAATATGAATGCATTTGTTTAATGTTTACTTGTTTCTTAATACATTATAAGGCAACAATCTGATAATTCCGACTTTAAAATTAAAAGATTAGCATTTTTACAATAATTTCACCCAGTGTGACTGAACTAGAACCTCATGTAAGAGTTTTATACTATATCATTATATAAAAACTGTTCTTGAATAAACTAATGACAAATATGTCTTATATTAAGGTTAACTCGATTCTAGTAGTCTCTATTAGACAATCCAGTAAAGTTTGCTGTTTTGTGCTGTACTTTACAATTAGGTAATTTATTTTTTTAATCATTAAAAGATTGATAAAAAGGTTTGATTTTAATTTCCAATTACTGTAATTTATCTTCAATCACTTCATCATTTTTCCTTAAATAACACTGACTTCTTTTATATTGTATTAATTTACCCTGAATACCAAGAACAAAATTACCATCATCATCAAAAGCTACAGCAGAAACCTTTCCAGGGACATTCCTTATTATTTTCATAAAATTTGTGTCATTTTCATGGAAATATATAAGGTTACTGCTAGCAATAAACACTCTGTCATTATAAAATGAAATCTGTGCAATTCCATCATACTGTACACTGGAAATTATAATTGGAGATGATAAAGTCGACTTCAAAACGAACAATTTTTCCTCTCTAATGAAATAAAAGTTGTTTTTATGGTCTATAGCCATTTCTTCAAGAGCTTCAAGGCTTTTAAATTGTATTTTGCTATCTCCTACTAGCAGGTATACTTCTTCAATTCCATCAATGTTCTGGGTTATATATTTGTTGCCATCTTTATCAACAAATATCATATTACATTTCATGTTTGGTTTTGAGATCAATGTCGCCTTTTTTGTCTCATAATTATATTTGAAAATACCTCTGCTAGTACCAAAATACACTTTTTCATTATTTCTGTCAATGGCGATTGAGTAGCTTGTGCCCTCAGGAAGGCCTGAGAAAAACAAAACAATAATTTATTACACATATTAATAGAGAATTTTCTATTCCATTTTGAAAATATTATGTTATTAGTGTTGTTATTATGTTATTTTTGTCTATTCACGATGAAGCAAAAAGTCCCAAATAAATTAATTGGTCTTTTTGTAGATTGGTGATGTCATAAAATACATAGGCACTAGTCTTGGTATAACTGCATAGTATAAAACAAAGTTTGTCTGTCCCTATGCATGCTTAGATCTTTAAAACTACACAATGGATCTTGATGCGGTTTTTTTTACTAGATAGAGTGATTCAAGTGGAAGGTTTATATGTATAATACATTGCAGCCGTGCGAAGCCGGGGCGGATCATTAGTTTATTCATAAATAAAATTTAAAGATTGATGTAGTTATAATGCTGAAAGGTACTGCAAACCTTGAACGTTCCCTAATAATTAATTGTACTGTCAACAAAGAAAAAAAACCCGGAAAATTAAAATATGCAGTAGAGAACACGAAATCTAGTATTATAAAGGCGCAATGAATCAATAGGCAGTTGATGAAAGAGTTTTAATGATATATGTAAGTAGAGGAATAATCATTTAAGACTTTTTATAATGGAAGTTAATGAGTTGTGTTCTTACCAGGGATTTTTTTGGGTGTAGTGGAGTTGGCCTCGATTATTCTTGCATTAAAATAATAACCCTCCGAATTGCTGCCCGCTTCCACAAAGAATATATTTCCGCGCTCATCGTAATGCGCATCAGTTGGGTACGCATCGTCGGTGTGGTAAATATTTGAGACATTGTAGTGATTGTCTTCTATGTTCAAGTCAGATCTACAACTCTCGCGCGGAATATCGAAACTTGAACATTGTTGAGCAAATAGGAAAATTATTAACAATTTCATTCTTTTAAAATGAACTTCGATTTTACTCCTAAACTGTCAACAAGACTTGTACCCTCTAGATCTTATTAGAATATACTGGTGAGAAGTTATTTCAGTCATCTTAACGCATTGCTATTATTTTAATAGGTGCCATTGTCCTGTGTAACACTGTTAGATAAGAATAATAGCAGTAATTACAATGATAAAAACAATTATAGTTCATAATTTATTATTATTTTTAAAAGAATCGCTTGCTGTTATTTATTTTCTCTATCAATAGGTTTTTTATCGTGTGACAACCGTTTCGAAGAGGGATAGGACGAATGTAATAGCTACATTCCAAAAGTTATTCACTGTATCCTCCACTCTCAGTTCAAAATGCGGAATCGCAATTAGGAGCGTTGCCATTCGGCTCGTCTACTTGGCATTGCAAATACGAGGGCAGGCGACCGTGTCTCTCGCCTTTGATTTTATGGATCTTCCACCGATGCCCTTGCAGGATTTTCCTGGAATGTAATAAAGAAGTAAGTAAATGACCTGTGCATTTCCCGGTCCTGAGAATAAGCTTCCTCTGAACAAAGAGAGGGCATGGTCCATCACGCGAACCCTCCGTGGATAAGCTGAGCCAGCGCGCTTACCATCAAAAGCTGCATCGCCACTTACCATCAGGTGGGATGCCAGTCAAACGCTGCCGAGTTTTGTATTAGAAAAAAATAGAGCAGACTAACAAAGCATTTAATTATTATTTGAAAGACGTGAAAGTTTTTTCACGTTTTACTTCACAAATGTGCAAGGTCATCCGGCACCCGGATTAGAAGTCAGGTTGCTCGAGTATATTGAATAAATGACTCCGTGGCGCAGTTGCACAGATACTGGCTTCTGCGCCGGGGGTGGTGGGTTCGATTGTATCCCACACGGGATAACTATTTGTGACCCACAGATAATTATTTCGGACCAGGTGTTGTCCACGTGAAACTTCTTGTAAAACATTTTTACAACACAGGATAATGTTATCTAACAGTAAGGGCATTCTTTTTAAAAGAAAATAAACAGCCTTTCACACAAAATGTAAGGCCGCCAAAATTCGTACTTACTTTGTATTGAATTTTTTGAAGCAAACATCGCATTCGACTGTGCCTTGTCTCAAATGAATATCCTTTACATGCCTCTTCATGTCATGTTGATAAGAAAATGCTTTTTCGCAGTAAGTGCACTAAAAAGTATGAAAAGCGTGAATTAAATTTTTTATTCCATTTTAACATTATAGTACTAAGGTAAATTAACACTAAGGTAAATACGTATATTTCGTTTATTGTACATGACTCACGGAGAACTGGAGACCCCATTTGTTGCTGAAATAGTATCAAAACAGTATTTTCCTATCGAGTGTCCTATAGTTATAACAGTTTTCAAGATTGAATTTATCGAATAAACGAATTTTATGCCATTTAGTACTGTATGTCTATTTTTATTGGATGATATATCTATAAAATTTGTTAAATCACTACATAGTATAAAACAAAGTCGTCCCGCTGTCTGTCTGTCCCTGTATGCTTAGATCTTTAAAAATACGCAACAGATCTAGATGCGTTTTTTTTTACTAGATATAGTGCTTCAAGAGGATGGTTTATATGTATAATTTATTGCACCCGTAAGCCGGGGCGGATCGCTAGTTCCCTATAAAACTAATACTGTTTACTGTAACATGGTGGCAGATCCTTTGCCACCTTTTAATAGAGTAGGCCCCTGTCACCTCACTCACCAGACGGAATATAGAAGTATAATATTTCCACTTCACGCCGGTCTTCTGTGAGGTCGTCGTACTTACCCGGACGAACGTTTAAACGTTAGTCTACTGTTTAATAGATTCAAATAATTTTCTTTTGTAAATAAATAGATACGATAGATACGTATTATAGATATACAAACAGCCAGACTAGAATACCAGAGTTCATCACACAATATTTTTCCAGTTGTTCTGATCCAACTCGTATCCGAGCGCAAGAGACAACAACACTGTCCACTGCGCCAGTCGGGTATTCATTTACCTTGTAGGGCCTATTAGTGCTGTGTACATGCCGCATATGTTTCGCCAGATTACTCGAGGTGGTTGTCGCTTTGGGACAGTGGGTACATTTGTAAGGTTTGTCTATTAGATGTGATCTCTTATGAACCTTCAGTAAGTCCATTGTTCGACCTTGGTAAGGGCACGAATCGCATTTAAAAGGGAAAACGTTCTCATGGATGCCCCTGGAGAAGAACATTTGAATTAAATTTTCTTTTTTGTATAGTTATAATAAACTTGGATTTGCCACATGTTTATACATACATATGAACTAAAAGATTCGCATTTGATCTAGCCGTTTTGCCACATATGTCGCATAAGAAAGTCTTTTTGTCTACCGCTCCATTTTGTTTCTGAATTTCTGTCACCTGTATATTGCATTTTACAAGATGATTGTTATATGACACCTGTTGACAAACAATACACTTTATTACATAACATGAATAGTATTCTATTTATTATAAGAACTTACATAGAGTTGAAAGAAAATTAATGGACGGTATAAAATGTTTGTAATCAATTGGTTAATAATGATACAAAGTCTCAATAAACATATAATGATTAACTATTAACTTGGATATTCATAAAGTAAACAGCCTATGTATTGTGCACAATGTTTACAGTTTTATTTTCAATGGGACTAGAATGGGAGACTTTACATATATATTCATCCGAAATATTTTGGACGAAAATCCTCCACCGCCGAACACGTGATAGATAGCACTTATAATTGCAATTACAAGTTTCAGTTGCGCCTGAATTGATGCTCAGGTTCTTCCAGTAAATTGAATTAAAAAATATCGCGCAAACAATGAGGTATCTAGCTTTTTATGGATACACACACACACGCAGTGTCATCTACACTGCCCTAAGAGTTGAGTAGCTGTAACAGATTTTTTTACTTTCAATCCGTAGAAAGCATCATCGAACGTAGAAACCCTGGAGAGGTTTAAAATGCACTGCTTCAGACATTTGTTCTTTATATAATAGCCCCAGTGCAAGTGTCAGTTATAAACTATCACTTCCACAGTCGCAGATTCGAAGCGGACGGTGAAACTGTCGGGCGACCGACGGTTTAACTTACCGCCCGACCTGCGACTGCTAATTAGATAAAAAAAATGCAGCCAAACGCGCTTTCGACCGATACCGATCAGAATCCTATAATCTCCTAGAGGACATTGAGCCATCGCACACCGCCTACTGGCGGTTGGCCCCAGTCTGAAAGCGGACCCCCGCGAATCTCTACCGCCGTTAGTTATACCTAATAGCGCTTCAGTAGCCCTAGATCTCAGAAAAAGTCGAATGCCTTGCGGAAAACCTAGAGCAGCAATGTACGCTATTGCGCGAACACACCGATACAGCCCACCTAACGGTGGTGGACCGCGGTGGTAATCGAGATTAGGGCTACGTTTCCACCGGAAGGTGATCCTTTGAATTCAGTGACCCCCGAAGAGGTCCAAGACATTATCAAAAATTTAAAACCCAAATCCGCCCCAGGCCCAGATAATATTAGTAACAAAATTCTTAAAGCTCTCCCTAGGCTGCTTATCGGTTTACTGGCGACCATTTACACACTTTACTCTCCAGTTGCTCCTTTCGGAACGGCCTTCTGACGGCGGAACAATTCGGCTTTCGAGCTAGACATTCCTGTCCCGATCAATTATACCGCCTAACGGAACATATCCTAAAAGGCCTAAATCACCCTAAACATATTAGCACGGGGTCTCTTTTCTTCGATGTCGCAAAAGCATTCGACAAGGTCTGGCACAGCTTGCTTTACAAGCTGTACACACTCAAAGTGCCAGATAGGCTCGTACGAACCATACGGGCCTTCCTGTTGAATTGCTCTTTTTGATATTGATTCGAGGGAACCCTCTCCACAAGCCGCCGCCTCACGGCTGGCGTTCCGCAAGGCTCTTGCCTCTCACCTTTGCTCTTTACGCTCTACACGAGCGACATACCAAAAGACCCCCACGTCAATCTCGCGCTTTTCGCAAATGACACGGCGCTCTTTATTCAGACCGGTCAGTCAACCACTCGACTCCAAAGCGCCGCCGACCGCCTCGGCGATTGGTTCCGCAAATGGAGAATAGAAGTAAATCCCAAAAAGAGTGTGGCGATTCACTTCACACGAAGTACTTACCTGTTACATCTTTATAATGGACCTCGTCAATGCAGAAAGTTGGGGTAAATATCCCTTTATGGCCAACAGCTCCCCTGGGCGAAAAAGGTCAAACACTTAGGATTCACTTTCGACTCGCGTATGTCATTTACTACGCACATTAATAACGTTCGTAATACAGCCGCCTTCGTCTCCGGCCGGCTACACAACTTAACTAACGCGAAAAGTAAAACGCCCTTAAGGCACAAATTATTATTATATAAGACCTGCGTACGACCTATTATGTCCTACGCATGCATGACTTTCGCCCACACGCATCCTACTCGCTTGTACAAGTTGCAAATAGTGCAAAATAAGTTCATCCGCTGCGCAACTGGTGCGCAGTGGTATCAACGCAACGTTGACTGCACAGCGATTGCAGACTCCAAACGGTTCTTCCTCCAAACTTAGAGCCGAACATCATCCCCACCCTCTGGTGGTAAGCGCAGCAAATTACCAACCCGCCAAACGCGAACGTCAACAAGCGTCGCCCGCGAAACGTCCTCATCGACCCGGTCGAGGAAGGGGACTTAGATACGCCGGACCCACCGCCGTAGGTCCTGCCGTATAACACTGCACCCACAGTTAGTGCAACAACAAATACACCAGTTCGCCCTCGCCTCCGAGCACGGCGAGACCAACACAACGCGTACACAAGGTACACTCGTGTTCCGGGGCGGTTCTCACCGCTCCCAGCCACCGATTTTCGGGGGGCCATCGGGGTTTCGGTCCGAACTGCGATCTCGATGGCCCTTAGATGACACACCATACTTAAACGCACGCATGAGCACATGCTTGGCCCTACACACAGCGGAGGGCACAAACCCGTGGGTTCTGGCTGGCCCACCGGTTCTGCGTCGGATGAAGCTTTAATAGTCTCGAGACTGAAAGCAAAAACATCAGTTAATACAGGATACTAGATGTCAGTTATAAGATGATAAAGTTTTATAGCAAAGTTATGGCAGCACATAAAATAAAAAGATACAAACAAATATTGATTTTTACACTTCTAATATGTGCATAATTTCTGCTTTACAATAATATTTTACTGTTGTATGGAGCCGGCTTGTCCAGGGAAGCATTATAATGTAACTTTATAATGGAGTAATGTTTAAGTTTTTATGCTTTTGTGTTTCTTCTGAGATAAAAAAAATTATAATCTTGCAGGCTGACAAAGCAACTATCTTTCTGGATGCAAATGGATGTCAGTAATCATCCATAATGTAGCAACATGACCATTAATTTTTTTAAATATTGCCTATATGGTAGGTGCTTTTTACAAACTATAAATTTCATGTGAACAAACACCCAGATATGAAAAAATTATCTGTGGGTCACACAAATATTTTTTCTGTGTTAGAATTGGAACCGATGACCCCCACCACTGAAACCAATACCTTGACAACTGCGCCAAATATCCTTTAATAAAAATCATACATTTCCATTTTTTTTTAATTTCTTTTCTTAAAAGTCACCAGCTATTATTATAAATTATTTTCAATGTTCTATGTAAAAGACTAACCAAATCATAGAATTCTTTTGAACATGTTGTACAGCCCCATATTTCTGAATTGTCTTCTGAAAATGTAGGCGTTGGAATATTGTAAGAATCCTCACTGTCTCGTTGATGACAAATCTCAACCTCATATTTGTTATGCTCTGGAATAAAATGTTTAATCTATATACTCCCTGGTGTATAGTTGCAAAAATATTATGCAACACTAGTTTAGCTACATCTTATTAATATTTAAGGATACTTTTATGTCATTACTTGTATCACTGCATTTGACGAAATTGGCAAACAGGAGAAGTTTCTTTTAAGAAATGTATAACATTCGTGCAGTGAAAGGGTATAAGGTATACTTAAAGGGAAAATTTTTGTACTAATTTTTAGATGTTTTCTTAAATGCTATTATCGTTTTTAAAGGTCCTATAAGCAATGAAAGGTTTACTTTAAATTTTGTTATTAATTAAATAACAAAATTTAAAATAAAACTGATATTAACCACTAAAATATCTATGTTCCGGTAAAAATACCATTATTCAGTGATTGATAGCAATATAATTTAAAAATTTCATAAATTTCAATTAGACCCTTCTTTTTCTTTCAATAATAATTACAATGCCCTTGCCACTGTAATGTTAAATTAAATATGTTTCTAGTATATATGAATCATCAGACATCATGTAATGAGCTTAAACATGTTACGCAAACCTTTTTTTATTGATAGTTCTATTAATCTTTTATTGTTCATCTGGCATAAATCACGAAAAGTAATACATCCATTTAGCAAGTCCAAACAATTCTTACATATTTGTTTTGGTAAATGATCCATTTTACTTATCTGAAAAATTTTTAAGTTATTATTACAAAAAATAATTATATTATAAAAATGTATAACAACCAAGGATTAGCTGGAAAAATTAGAATAGATCTATTTGATCTACTTTGTGATACATGTTATTATAAATATACTTAAAAATAAGGATTAAATACACATTAAGCATTTAATTACTATTATTACTTTTAAATTTGTAATAAGCAACATTTATACTTACTATTACACCTGAAAAGTTTTTTATTTCTTCAGAAATGTTTAGTTGAACATCATCATTAAATATAGGGATGTGTCCATTTTTTTTGTTACAAATCCTACACATTTTCAAGTTTATTTCCTTTAACATACTGGATCTAAATAAACAATGTATTTATAAAGTATTCGCCGCAGCTTTAATGATTTTTTATTTAAATAATATGTATATATATACTTTAATTAATTGTGGTAAAGAAACTTACGATTTCTTAGATTTAATTTTTTTCCTCTTAGTACTTTTACGCAAAATACTTGCGAATAACATTGATTTTAAAAGTAGCAAGGAAGTCATTTTATTATAATGATTATTTGATTCAAAACAATAACTTTTTTGTATAAGATTGAGGAGGAAGACTAGAATAAAGTAAATGCTGGTTATGACAGCAATAATTTAAGACATATACGCTAACAAATATTATAATTTAAATTTAAGTTTAGATCTTAAAACAATTGTACAAATAATAACAATAACAAACTCAAACTCGAAACTCGGTACAGAATTTTGACAAATAATTGTTGATGTATAGGGATGATGTCGAAGAAATATCGATACATATTTGGATCCGATATATCGATACAAAATATTCACAATCGAAATCGTATCAAAAACTTTTTTCTAACTCGAATCCGGCACAGAGTTTGTAGGGTGTCAAAAATAATATTGCCCCGATAAAATAAATCGATGTATCGGCTCGAAACCCGCAGCACACAAAGTGTTTTAAAATTATATAATATTTATTTCTACATATTTATCGGCACTCCGAATTATAATAACATTATTGATATAATATCCATAACTACAAATATATTTTTTGCGTATTCCTTCTTTAAAAAGAGGTCATGGAAAGCGTTCGTTGACAATGACGTCACGTCACGTTTTTTGTTAATCCAAATAGTACACACACACGCGACGATGATGCTAGTTCCACGATTTTTGAACACCCAAAAAGTGCTCAATCCTAAAGAAGTTTTCACTTCAAAAAATCCAGCGTCAATTTAATAAACTCTGTTTGCACTAAAAAGCTTAATGTATGTATATATCGGTAGTCTTGAGGTCCTCTGACAGTTCGACACGGCGCGCGATCATGGGCTAGAACGATCTACTCGGACATGTCTTCGGCGACTGTTTAATTCTGGGAAGTTAGTTGGGTTGTTGGCTCAAATGCAGTCTCAAGGAGACTCTATTCTATTCGGGATTTTATCTAAGTAGGGGAAGTTTGAGTACCTTTACTATTTTTTTTTTCAGCTCTGGTCGGTTTAATATTTTAGACGGAAGCGATGGTTAATTCACTCAGTAATTTTATAGAAATTACCGGTAAGACAATATTCTTTAAAATTATAATTTCTAATCTACCAGTCTTTTATTTTGTTTAATGTCACAGTCTCACGCTCGGTTTCTGAAACACTGATCATCGTATAAGTTAACTAATCAACTGTCAAATGGTCACTCTGATCTAGGCATGAGATATACCTGCAACATTCTATACCCGGCCTCAAAGGTACGGGTATCGCCGTATACCCGGTGCTAAAACCCAGTATCAAAATACCTATAGGTATTAGTTATGTTCAGGCCTCCTAATGGAGACCCGGTATGGAATTGAACCTTTATTTGGTTGGAATTTGAACACTTAGATGTTTTTTTAGCAATCATTTTTTTTAATTAAGATTTAATCAGTCTAAATTAAGCTCCATCTTTACCAACGTAAAGAACCCTATTATAAAAAAAAAGTAATTCAAAATAAATATTACTGTTTAATCTTATTACGCAATTATTTATCTACCTAATTGTCATAGAAATAAAGAATAAATTTATCTCAAGGAAATATTTGGTATAAAATGCCTAAATCATACGTTTTAATTCGGGCATGATCGGAAAGAGCCGCCGTAAGCGTTCGGGGAACTTCGTACCTATTCGGCCGGCGGGTTGTCGCGAGCGTATATACCGCCACTGTCGGACGAGGTGGCTATAGCCATACCTATCGGGTATGGAACGGGCCTCTGCCGTACATACGTCATACCCGGTTTGCGGGCGGGTTGTCGCGAGCGTTATATACCGCCACCGTCGGACGAGGCGGCCATACCCAGCCATACCTATCGGGTATGGAACGGGCCTCTGCCGTACATACCCGGTGTGCGTACTGGCATGTTCATACTGGGTATTTATACCTGTTCCAGTATATACGCCTCATCCCTACTCTGATCATTAAGAATATAATTCTGATCAATTCAAAGAATTTAAGATTCCTTTTGGCAACTTAAATAACATTTGAAAAGCCATTTAACTTCTACGATTACTGTCTGATCCGAGCGTCAGAGTAGATAAAATGTGTTTTGTGGTGTGGTGTTGCAATGTAATGACTCATGCGTTAGCATCTCTACCAAATCTGTGCTTTGACTACTAAATCTGATTAATATTATGATTCTGTGGCATTCTGTGGTATGGAATGACTGATAGTCGGTAGATTAGACATTATTTATTTATTATGTATTTCTCAGTGCTGCTTTGGTGTTGGTTTGTTATTGTTAAAATATAAATAATCCCAAGCGTATGATGATGTAAAAATCTGTTACAGACTTTTTTAAATTTGGTAATTTTTGGTGTGAATTCTGTGATTGTTTCTATACATCTATATAAAACAAATATTATTTAAATGCATAAATATGTCTGTTTATTTAACTAAATCAATGTTATCCAAATTAAATAAGGTGAAATATCCAAATAGCAATTCATTTAAAGAAGATGAGGACTGTAATAATGATGAACATTGGCAAAAGCTTTCTGTTGATGGGTAAATGTATTTGCCATGTACTACAATATTTTGTTCACATTTGGTGATTATAATAATATTGTTAATTTATTAGTCATATATTCAATTATTGATAATTTTTTAAATTACAGAAAAAATAATGTTCATCTTGCAAAAGACAGGATATGTAGAGTATGTGCAAAAAGTGGATGTACACCTTTAAGTGATAAAATTAATGATTATGATATAATGGGAGCAATTCGAAGTGTCACAAATATTTCCGTGGGTATAAATAATCAATACATTTTGTTATTTGCAGATCTCTATCCTACAAACTTACACTTTGCTTCTGCCCAGAAATATTTGTATGAAATTTAAGATATCTTTTTATTTATGACAATTATATCTATTTATGATAATAAATTTAAAATAAAGAATTATTACTTAAAATAAATTATATTAATTACTTATAATAATTGTATTTTTGTGTTCTTAACATTTATTATTCATATATATATTTATTTTCAGATTACTAGTGATGATTCATTACCAAAGTTTATATGTAATGAATGTCTTGAAACATTGAAACTTGCGATGGCATTTAAAAAAACATGCGAGATATCAGACAAAAGATTTAGAAAGATCTTGAATCCAATGGGTATAATTTTAATTCTAAAGCTTTTTAAAAATATGTTAAATGATTCAAATAAATATGGGACTTCATTTTACAGGGGATCCACTTTTTCATTCATATCCATATTCAAAGCATGATTTTCAACTAATATTACATCAAATGAAACTTAAAAGAATGAAGGTGGAACAGAAAACAGAAAGGGAGCGTAAGAGGAAAGAGAGAGAGCAGCAGAAGAAAGACCCAAAAGTAAAAGAGTTCAAGTGTTCCCCATGTGATGTAGTTTTTCAAACAAAAGTGAGTTAAGTTTAGGTTATAATTAAATTATCTTGATTTTGTTTTTTTAGACTTTCTTGGTCAATAAAAAATAAAAGCTTTTAAAGATGCTAATTACCAATGATCTGGACATGGTATATTGTAAATAACGATGTAAAATTTGAGAATATGATATGCTTTCGCTCCTCAGGTCTATATAAGTTGTTCACCTTCGAATACAATTGATACTGCCTGCAGTAATGCTGACATTTCTTCGAGCTAGGTTTTGATGTGAAAAGTTACCAAATGTTCAGGCAGTTCACCTGATTTTCAGTGATTATCATCACCCATGGGCATCTGCAACATCTGGAGAAATGTACATACACCATATTCTAATTAAATGGGTCTTGGTTACCCCCTAATCACATGAAATGCAGAATTATAACACTTCCACTTCACGTCGGTCTTCTGTGGTGCTGTCGTATTTGGTCATGGCGTGGGGGGTTCTTCTAGATGTTCATGCAACAGTAAAGACTGCTGCATGGCCCTACCAGAACAAATGTATGAGTCACAGTAAAATGAAGATAGTGCTTAAAACATATGCCTGTCTACATGCACTTTTTAACTTAAGTATTTGATATGTGCAATTTAAATTGGATATTCAGTAATTTACTTGACAGCTGTGACAGCATACTGAATAGTATTGATATATTACTAATGAAAATGATTTTTTTGTATTTATGTTATTTATAAGTGCTGGTCTATAAGTCTCTGCACTCGAGATATGCGAATTTTTGTCAATAAATAAAAAAAATCTTTTGGGATCGAACCTGGTGCAACCTCTGGGTAAAGCACCCAGGCGCTTTACCAATTAAGCTAAGCGGCCGATGACCTCACAGCAAGAAAATCTCTTAAAAGTGCAGCATCAAAAAATTATATTAATAGAAGATTGAGATAAGTTGAAATGTCCAACAATATTATTTTATAGGAGCAACTTGTTTCGCACCGGCGCGAGGCTCAGTGCATGCGGCGGGCATGCGACGTTTGCGGCCAGCTCGTGCTGAGCATTGCTCAGCACATGCGACACATTCACAAGCGCACGGTCCCACACAAGTGCCCTACATGTGGAAAGGAGTTCCCTATTATAGCCCGCTTGAAGAGTCATATGTAAGTGAGTTTTGCACAGTAGTACATTGGGCCTCATGGTATAGTAAGACTCTATTAGTTAGTGGTTAGGCACATGAACCTTGTCATCAAATTATTAACTCAATCTTCTGTACATACAGATGGTTGTGTTTGTAATACAATGAGAGTAGTGGACTGATGAGGTGTGAATCGCCTCTTTATGTAAACACTAGCTGCTGCCCGCGACTATGTCTGCGTAGAATAGACTGAAGGCGTAACATTCAGACAGAAAGAAAGATATACATAAAATATGTATATACATTATAGCCTATTTGTTATTCTGATATATAAGCTATATACTGTAAAGTATCATTAAAATCCATTCAGTAGTATTTGCATGAAAGAGTAACAAACATCCATCCATACACAACTTTCGCGTTTATAATATTAGTGTAAACATATGTTTTAATTGATTATAACGTGAACTTCAAAATTAATATTATTTAATAAATTTATATCCTTAAAATATCATTATAATCAGTTATACTTTTTTTCTATTACACAAAGGTTCGAAAAAAAAAACATACCAGTTATATTGGCGTTGTACCAATTCAATTACATTTACTGCAATGTAGCTATGCTAAAATGTGCAAGTAATATAAAAATACCTATTTTATTCAATCTCCACTTTCAGGCTGGTGCACACAAACACATTTAACTTCTACTGCGACCTGTGCCCGTACAAATGCAAGCACAAATACTACCTGGTGATGCATATGCGCACCCACACCGGGGAAAAGCCCTACAAGTGCCAGCACTGCCCGGCCACCTTCGTCAACCCCTCCAATCTCAATAAGCACAAGCTCACGCACCAGGAGAAGCAATACAAGGTACACCAATTTTGAACTCCGTCTCTGTTTAAAGTATCGACTTTAAAAGAGATAGTGGCAGTGCAAGGTATACTGATATTGAACATAAGAAAAGCACCTCTATGGTTTTATACGCATAAAGTGCGTTTTACGTTTCCGTACGGCGATAACGTTGCATTTGTCTACTGCAGGTTAATAACATGAGATAGTAAATGTATTTCAAAGATTCAAGATTGTGTACTACTTGCATGAAAGTCACGGACAGAATGTGCACACACACAACATTTTTTTTATGAGATAAATTGGCAAACGAGCTGGCGGTTCACCTGATGTTAGGTGATAACCGCCGCCTATGGACTTTTGCAACACCCATAGGGTTGCAAATGCGTCACCACCTTTAAATAAAGTGGGCCCCGGCTACCTCACTCACCAGACGGACCGCAGGAGTGTAACTTAACTTAACTTCATGCACTTATAATTATTGTCCCGTGGTTTGGCCACTTCGGCCAACTGCTTTTTTTTTTTTTAATTCAATACTGGCCAACACTTGACTGCTACTCCTTGACTCTTGGTAAGTGGCGATGCAGCCGTTGACGGTAAGCACGCTAGCTCAGTAAAAACCTATTCACCCTTGCCTATGCTATTGCGCCGTATACCATAGAGCGGGGGTTTTTGAAAACGTTTATCTTTGTAATTTTTGTATTTACAAAAACATCGATCTTTGCAGTGCATGCTGTGCGAGAAATCATTTCGCACGAACGCAGCGTTGCGAGGCCACCATGACGCCACGCACATGAACATCAAGCACACCTGCAACTTCTGCGGCCGCGACTTTTGTTATAAGTGAGTGCTTCATTTTTTTTATTACTTTCCAATAATCTTTTTTCCACACAATTGAAATTTATTTCTCATCGTTCTATAGAAAGAAAATTCAATATCACATAATGTGTCGAATAATAAATAACAGGGCATGAATGTTCGAAATCCGTCTCTCAAATTCAAATATCTTTTTTCAACATTGGAGCATTACACTCACTTATTGATTGTCAAAATACCACTACAGTCGTTATGGGTAACTTTGAATTGCGGTTTAACTTTGAACAATGTGAAAAACTATTTTTTATTTCAATAGCGTAACTGCGTAAAACGATCGGCAAAATGGTTTGAAATAACAAAAAGTAAAAAAAAAAACTTTCAATGCAATATCACATTTAAACGTTAATTTAGATGTAATTTTTAGAGATAAGGTTTTATTTAATGAAAATACGTCATATAATTTTACCCAAACCTTAAAATATTCGAAAAATGCTGGTTTTTACCTTAAAAAAAATATATATTCAAAGTTACCCTAAACTCACGATCACTTTGAATCTGAGTTTGGGGGGAAATTGTGAATAGTTCTGTTGTTTTTTCGTAAATTTATTGTGGCGGCAAAATCAAAAGGCCATTATTCATTCTATAAAATAAAGGTGTAGTAGGTAAAGGACTTGAGAATACCCTAAACCGGTTCGGACAAGAAAAGCCACTGACTTGAGAATAAATTAAAGCATACCAGCGGGACAATTTGCTTCTCTCCAAAGGTCCGATCTGAGGAAGCACGAGATACGGAACCACAACCGCACCAAGAGGTCGTACGTGGGCGGTGAGCCGAGCTACAAGCAGGTGGAGAGGATGCAGAAGCAGCTGGTGGTGGCCAAGCCGGAGATCCTGCAGGCGACCTTCATAGACCAGAGCAAGGACTTCATACAGACCCACCATCCGGTCTACTTCTCCGACGTGACCGCGATAATACAGCAGCCAGGTGCGTAAGATGCAGTTCTATGATGACTCAATGGCGCAGCTGCCAATGTGTTAAGCTTCGGCGCTGGTGGTGGCAGGTTCGATTACCACACGATACAACTGTTTGTGTGATCCACAAAGATAATTGTTTCGGATCTGGGTGTTTGTCCACGTGAAATCTATATATGTAAAACATCCTTACAACACGGGATAATGTTATCCTAAAGCAGTAAGGGGGCATGTTTTCGAAGGGAAAGCTGAAATAGATCTTCCAGGTCGCAGTGGTCCTTGGGACTTAATACCCCACCTCTTCCACACAAAGACAATACAAGACAAGACAAGATTCAATTGATCCCGTTCCCGGATCAATGCAAATTCGGTACCCTTCGAAAGGTTGTTGTTATTTTTTTTAACCTCCGACGTAAAAGGAGTTTGACGTATCTGTCTGTGTTATTTATTGTGTGTCTGTCTGTGGCATCTGAGCTTCTAAACGAATGGACCAATTACGGTGTGTTCTTTTTGTTTGGAAGCTGACCGAGTGATCTAGATGGTTCTTAGCTAGTTAGAGTTTTTATAGCTTAGTTTGAGTTTTTATGTGTCAGGGGTGTCAAGTGAGAAAATGGTGAGCCGCCGTCCATGGACATCCATAACTTGTAAGGGGTTGTAGTTGCGTTGTTAAAGAGGGCCCCGACGCGCACCGGTATATCACTTCTATCAGTGTAAACGCGAAAGTGTATTACTTCCACTTAACGCCATTCCTCTGTAGGGCCGAGGTACTTCCCCGGACGAGTCTGCCCATTCGTGCTACAGCAGATAGCAGCAGATAGAATCAATCGAATAATTTCTCGTACATTCTCGCTTACTCTAAAGGGAGCCAGTTTCTTAACGAGTCCACGTCTTTTGGGTGTCCAATTCAAATTAGGGGCGATTCACATTTAGCCGCCATACGTTCGATAAATTTTCAAAAGCAATCCCCTTTATACATTTTTTTATGTGTGTGCTAATTAATATTGTTATTTTTTTGCAGTTCAAACGCAAACGCTGCAGATAACATTGTGAGTATCAATTATCCTTTTTTTTATCTAAGCTAGCTAAGCCAGATACCACGTTTTGAACCTTTGCGCTGCGTTCATTTTAATCAAATCGTGACAGCTGATGTCACTTTTGTGACCATACTCCATAGTACAGATGGCGGAGAGTGATTTTTGTTCTCTTCTTTATACGATATTTATGTTATGGGCCTTACCGTCTCTTACATACAGACAGTTAGTTTATTTTGTCATTAGTATTGTAATGTAGCTATTTGTTAATAACTACTTTGTATTATTAATAAAAAAATGGAAAAATACTGAAATATACCTGACATGTAAATTAATTAGTCTTTATAATAATAATTTACGACTTCGCAAATAATAAATGCTAATTGTTGCCTCTGAGTGCGACCTTAAGTGTTTAAAGCAAATATTATTATCGAATCTTTCAATACTCCATTATTAAGATTGAAGCACCAATTGAAACTTTATTTGCGATACTTAAAACTTACGAAACACTAACCAAACAACTACCCTGCTCAGCCGATTTCATTGCATTTATTTTTCATGTCATTAATTGCCATAATTAAGAATGGCGTAAAATAAAGTTACGAAATTATGTTCACCCTTAATAATATGCGTTGCAACATATCTACAGCTGTTTTCAAGATGAGAAGCAATTATATAACATTCACTTTATTTCCAGGCCCGATCTGGTATTGAAGAAAGACGAAGTACAGATATACGAAACGGAGCAGACTATCGCGTATTTTTAATCTGTTTCTTAGCTTTTCAGTTACGAGATATAATATTGCTAAGTTTCGTACTAAATAATTCACGCAGCGTGAGCGACTCTGACATTCTTTTATAATTTATTTTTTCAGAAATCGATTGCTATGTGGTTTTAATGATAATTTGCATACATAGTAGCATTGCCAGGCATGTGTAGCCATGTTACATAACGAAAAAGTGTTTACAACAGTATTTTAGTCTTTGTATAAATGATACAAATATTCACATTTAATATAAAAGTATTTTTGCTTTTTTTAATGCACTAGAAACTAAGAATATTTGATAAGTAATAATAAAAAAAATGTAATATGGATTAGTTATGTGATAATTATTTAATTTGAATGGTGACTTTGGATAGATATTTTGTAAGAATGAATGAATGTATTTACATTTTTAAAAGTGTTTGCGATCATTGATATACTTTTAGTGCAAAAAAAAATGATGAATAGACTCGTGGGAGACTGGCGTTAAAATGAAATCAAAACCAAAACCCGAAAATACTTATTCGGTTAAGAAACTTTGATCAATTCAGTGTACTCAGCGTCCACAATCTATATAAATCACCCGTTAAAAGTATCGACAAGAAACCTTACGCCCGTCCTTCCGTAACATTCTCAAATGATGTTCAAACACCGTTTCTGACTTTACACCCTAAAGCTAATCGATCGTTAACCGTTAATCTTTCAACTGATTGATTTTAAATGAAATACGACATACCTACTAATTCAGTTCGTAAAAAAAATTAAAGAATTTTAAATTTGGAGCATTCGTCTGTCCTGGTATGTATATAAAAATCTGTACGTTCCCAGCTTGATCGACAATAGGTATTGTAAGAGGTACTTAGTACATAAGTTGTATAATTATGATCCTTGTTGGCTATGGGGCATTATTTTTTATATTTTCAGTGTACTGCCCTGTTAAGGTTATCTCAATGTAACTTAAAAGCCTCGACTACGAGATGAAAGACATGAACAAGATAAACATATAGTATGTGTATTAAATCGCATAAACATATAGTATGTATATTAAATTATAAGATTAAATTGTAATATTAAGATTTCGCTTCCAATAAAGTTATCAATGCTATGTATTAAATAGGATTGATAGCTTTGTTAATGCAGAGAACATATTATAATATGTTTATAGCTTTGTAATAAATCAAAGAATCGTAAAATTGTTTCTTTCATTCCCATTCCCTTACAAATTGTATATGAGGTAATTACATTTTCGTAGCATAGTTAAATTAAATTTTTATCGAATAATATCCTGGCCTTATGTTCATTTGTTGCGAAACAAGCAGGCGGGTTCACCTGATATCAAACGAATACTGTCGCCCATGGACATCTACAACATACAACGACGTGCTGATGCGTTGAAAACCTCAAAAAATGTGGGGCCCGGTTATCTCCCTCACCGGACGGAACGCAAACTTTTAATAGGTACTTCCACTACATTCAGGTCCACCTGCTTCGTGATTGTGGAAAATTCAATTCGTTGGGCGGTAAACCTAAACCACGGCACGGTTCCCGAGATGTTTTCGAATTCGAAATATTGTTATATAATTATGACATAATAGGTCTCCTTATGTTGTTATCCTTTACTGCTGTGCACGTGTAGAACCAGCACTTTTATTGTAATTAAAATTACATAGACTCCAGAACATAAATGCACGTTCCTTCAGTATCTCTCAGGAACAATATTTATGATACTATTTTAAAATTTCTGTTCATTGATCGCAGTCTGAAAAGCTTACTGCATAAGATAGAAAAACTTTACAACAATTTGGACCTGATTGTTTTTTATTTAGCAATTAGGCTCCGCCGCATGTTACACTACATTTTATATCGTGCTTAAAAAGTAGCCTATAGCCTTTCTCAATAAATGGGCCATATAACTGTGTAAGACCAGACCAGTAGTCCCGGATATTATTAAGTTCAAACAAACAAACTTCACTTTTATATATATTATATGGATATCCTCTTATTTTTGGCCGTTCCATCACTACTAAAAATACTTTCTAGTGCGGTTTAGGTCGATATCGGCCCGCCGCTTTCCCTGGTTCCTGGCTCATTTTGTGTTTATCAGATCCAGGGGCGAATCGAACCCAAGGAGTTCAAGGTCATTTATTGTAACAGTACACAAAAAATTTGTATACATCACGTTTTCGCAAAGTTATAAAATTTATATCTATCCACAGTGCCGGTGGGTCGTTTTTATAATAGTACGGAATCCTTCGTGCGATAGTCCGACTCGCACTTGGCTGTTTTTTTTAACTTTATATAAATTTACAATCATCATCATTTCACAGACTAGTACATAGTTAACTATTCATAGTTATCCAACACCAGTCATCCAATTGAACTGTAGCTATTATTTAGCATTTTATCACACAAATCTTCAATGTGTTTTTTTAAGTTGATATAACTTTTTTATTTATGAACCGATTTAAATAAAACTAACAATAAATGTTAAGTGAAGCTTACTACAAGTATTAGTGAAAGTTGCACCCAAATCGGTTAAGCTGTTTCTGAGATAAGCGCGCACAAACTCATAGACATACAGATAAACAGGCAAACAGACGAAAATATTAAAAATTATTGTTTTGGGTTCTACTGCGTTGATGAAGGTCCCAAATATCATTTTTTCTCAAATATCTTCCATGTACAGAAAACGATCAGTTATATTTTTATTATATATGTAAAGTTAGATTGCGTCGAACTATAACTTCTAAGTTCACAATCTAAATTAATTTACAGTTTGAATAAGCATACTACTTCAGATAAGCCGTCTTATCTTAAAATCCGGCTGAAGCGTTAGTTAAGCTGTTCTCATGTATTATTCTGTAAACTTAACCAAATCTGGTTAGTTATTACATTTAGTTAATATAGATTTACCTTCTTACTGTTACCTATTTAATTAACCATAATATTGTGCGTAAAAAAACTTAGATCCATTAAAATAATATTTGTGACTAACAGTGCTATTTAATTGTTTGATTACTTGTATATAATATTTTATAACATACTTGTTTATATGCAAAGGTTGAACATGTCAATTCACATCAACCCATCGAATTCTCATATCCGGCACGTTTTGTGGTCAATCACATGTCGAAATTGTGGAAGTATTGTCAATATCAATATTAAATACAAAATTTGTTTTTTATTATAAATCCTACAACATACAACAACTCAAGGGATAAAATTCAAATAGCGGTGTGCAATAAGTATTATATAGGTACCTTTACCGACTTCAACTCCTTGTATTAAATATAAGTCCAACGTGTTCATCTTTAAAGAGCAATATAAAGAGCGTGAACGCAAATATGAAAATGTAGCAAATATTTCTGCAACGACTTCGTATAAATCAGCGTTATTGCATTCAGTAGGTTTGGATAAGATGAAGCTTCTATTTAGATATAGTCAAACACAAGATGTTAGACAACAACTGCTGTATTCACGATATCACGCGATAACTACAGCTATTTAATGTATCAGCTTCTTGTAAAATTTTCTTTTGGTCGTCTTGATGTTGAAGAAGTTAACGATGTGCTAATTTTTCCCTTAAGATTATCTTTTGTTAGAATTTTCGTTGTATAACGTTATTTGAAATTGTTTGTGTACCGTGTGTACAGCCTCGGCTGTTGCACGAATGGGCAGGCTCGTCCGAGTAAGTACCACCACCTCACAGAAGACCGGCGTAAAGTGGAAGTATAATACTTCCGTGTTTCGTCTGGTGAGTGAGGTAGCCGGAGCCCAAATTCCAAAAAGGTTGTCAATGCATCTACACACCCTCGGGTGTAACAGATGTCCATGGGCGTCGGTATTCACTTAACACCAGGTGAACCGTCTGCTTGTTTGGCAACTTTTACTACATAAACAAAGTAATGAATTTTTTTTAAATAATTTTATCTAATCTTTATATAATTTTTAAATAATCCTTCTTTTCTTGCAAATACCACATTTACTTAATGCAAATGTCGTATACACCTATAATTGAGGTGGCACTTAACATGATTTTTCGTATAATTAGTGTACACTTAAATTTCTTCAGTGTGCATTTCGTTGGTGTATCAAATAAATAAATAAATAAATATTTCAATTTCTTACCAACCACGGATACCACAAAGAGTACCCAATAGATTATACACTTAGGGTACCCCGCTAGATTTTAAATGATTACAAACGATAAATACTCGTACGATAATATCAACCCCCAAACTTCCAATAACTCATCCAAACGAGCACCATATTTGCCAGAGTGGATCATGAAATATCATGCCACAATGCTAACATAGACCCTTATTCCTGATTGACATAGTAAGGAAAGAAAGCACGACGGAAACTTTATATTGCTTTTAAGTTAAATGTTTTTATTGAAAATAAAGATTGAAATGATGTAGACTATGTACTAAAAGCTAAGAAATAATTCGGTATGTCCTAGATACAGTCTAGTCATCACACCACTCTCCTTTTCAATTTAGGGCATTGATCACACAAAAAAATATAATCGTTGATCGCGCGTAACCTGGGTAAATATGTACTACATGAAGTTTAGATTTAGCGGTCAAATTTCAGTTACTAGATTTGACCCAAATAGGTTAAGCTAAATAAAACCGTTTAAAATAAACTAAAACATTTCACTACGTAGTCAATGCTTTCCTTTCGATTACATTTATTACCACACTAAGAAGGAAAGTATAAATAATCCCTTACTTCAGATTGAATTTCCAGATAGGAACGGAATCTTTTGTTACGACAACCAAAGGAACAGTATTGATTCGAGGTCGATTAACGTACTTCAATCTTGTGGATTTGATCACAATGCTAAAGAGTAATCTTCCAGAGAGTAGTCGAAAATATCGAAAGCATTTGGTTTTATTGTCGACAATATTATTTTGACTGAAATAAAAGTTTTAAGTAAAATTGCTCATTTAAACATTCAAGTGATTAAATTATAAATTAACAAAAGCTTTATGATT